AAGCAATAAATTTTTCCCACCAATCCCATTCCAATTAGACACGGCCCCGGGCCGGTTTTGGGCCCGGAACCGGCCCGTTGACGGCCCAAACCGACCCGTTGACCGAGTGAACCGGCCCGTCCTACACGGGACGGGCCCGGTTCTCAGAAATGGTGAACCGTGAACCGCTGGGCCGCCCGGCGGTTCACCCGGAGTTAAAAAAAAATCAAAAAAAAAAGCAAAAACGGCTAGTGAACCGGCCCGAACCGGCCCGAACCGGCCCAGGTGAACCGGCCGTTTTTGTTTTTTTTTGAAATCCCCCCCCCCCCCAATTTTTCCTATAAATACCCTCACACCCCAAATTTGCTTTTTTTTGAATTTTTTTTGCCCCCCAATTTTTCCTATAAATACCCTCACACCCCAATTTCTCCTATAATTTACTTATTCATCAAATATTTCAAACTTGTGCTTCTAAATTGATTTTTTATTTATTTCCTTTTCCCTTTTCTATTTAAAAGTACTTCTTTTAATTTACTTATTCATCAAATATTTCAAAAAAAAAAAAAAATTCAAAATTTCCGGGCCGACCCGGCCCGTTGAACCGCCCATTCCACGGGCCGGTTCCGGTTCCGGAAATTGTGAACCGTGAACCGGTTCGAACCGGCCCGAACCGGCCGGTGGCCGTGTCTAATTACAATTACATTAATTAATAATATATTGTCGAAGACAATATAAGTATAATATAACTGGTGTTAATAACTGTATAATTATGGTCAACGTTATCAGTGGGTGTAAAAAAAACGTATAAAAAAAGCAAAAGATAAAATAAAAAATAAATTGAAAATTCAACGTTGGAGATCGGCATTGACTGTCGGTCAACGCCGGAAACCGGCGGTAAAAAAAGTATTTTTTGAAAAAAAGTCAAAATTGATTAAATTGGAGTTACAATTAAGAATTGAGTGTACAAGGTTGGGGGTAATTTTGTCATATACATTAATTTTTACTTTATTTATAATGCATATTAAATGGATGAGCTTATTGACAAAAGAAGTACAGTTAAACCTCTATAAATTAATAGTCGGCACTAGGAAAATTCTATTAATTTAGCGAATTATTAAATTATCGAGTTAATAATTTAATACTTTTTCACCGAGTCGAGACCGAGAGAAACTATTATTTAATCGAGGTTATTAATTTATCGAGTATGGATTTATCGAGATTCTACTGTATAGCCTTGGGGTGAAAGTCGGATGGATCGGATCGGAATTAGCTTTTTCGGAAAATTTCCAAAAAAAATCGGAAGTACAAAATCAATTCCAATTTCAATTCCAAATTTTTCGGAATCTAAAAATTCATTCCAATTCCAAAAGGCCCGGAAATTTCGGAATTTCGGAAAAAAATCGGAAATCACATAAGCTTTAAAATTTCAAAACTTAGCCGAAACTTTCTAAAATGTTCATAATTTTTAAAATAAGAGCATCCACGTCGATAAAAGTAAAACTAATAAGTAATAACTTCTAAATTTGAGCTCAAAAAAATAAATAAAAATAAACACAACATAATATCCAATAAAACTTCTAACAACAATTCATTATGCCAAAATCCTAAAACAAAACTTATAGGTATATTTTTCGGAAAATAAGTATTATATAATATATACTATTTATAGGTGTATTTTTCGGGAAAAAATCGGAATTTTTCGGAATTAATTTCGAAATTAAATCGGATCGGAAATCGAAAATTCCAAATTTATTTTATATAATTCTAATTCCAATCCAAAAAAATCGAAAAAATCGGAAATCGGAATTTCGGAAGTCGGAATGAAAAAAATTGTTCCAAAATCGGAACTTTTTGGATCGGAACCGGCGGAAATTGGAAAATCCGTTCCAACTTACACCCCTAGTATAGTCCCTGAACCTAGAATAATATAGATGGTTGGTCAGAGACTTATGCACGAAACTTCAAATTAGATAAATAAGCTAACAATAGTAATTTAGAAATTCAAATTATTAAATCAAACGCTTTAGTTACAAATTTATGGGTTAAATTAGAACTAGGGGTGAAAGTCGGATGAATCGGATCGGAATTAGCCTTTTCAGAAAATTTCCAAAAAATTTCGGAAGTACAAAATCAATTCCAATTCCAATTCCAATTCCAAAATTTTCGGAATCTAAAAATTCATTCCAATTCCAAAAGACCCGGAAATTTCGGAATTTCGGAAAAAAATCGGAAATCACATAAGCTTTAAAATTTCAAAACTTGCCAAAATTTTCTAGAATGTTCATAATTTTTCGAAAATAAGAGCATCCACATTGATAAAAGTAAAACTAATAACTACTAAATTTCAGTTCAAAAAAATAAATAAAAATAAACTTATCATAATATCCAATAAAACTTCTGACAACAATTCATTATGTCAAAATCTAAATCAAAACTTGTAGGTGCATTTTTTGGAAAATAAGTATTGTATAATATATACTATTATAGGTGTATTTTTCGGAAAAAAATCGGAATTTTTCGGAATTAATTTCGTAATTAAATCGAATCGGAAATCGGAAATTCCAAATTTATTTTATATAATTCCAATTCCAATCCAAAAAAATCGGAAAAATTCGGAAATCGGAATTTCGGAAGTCGAAATGAAAAAAGTTGTTCCAAAATCGGAACTTTTCGAATCGGAACCGGCGGAAATTGGAAAATCCGTTCCAACTTGCACCCCTAATTAGAACCATCCTCCCGAGGTAAGATTTATTTACAAAAAACCCTTATATTTCTATAATTATCCCCATTTTTTAATTTATAATCCTTACATTAGCACTTTTTGTAAGGGTGGATCTAAGATATTTACAGACTATAAGGGGCCTAAATGTAGTTTTTGAAATATTCAGACTTTTCTCGTAAATTAACTTTAGAAAATAGTTCGAACTTTCAACTAATTAGATATGGAAACGGATCAGCCGTATAATTTCAGTTCACTATCATTATATATAAGTTAAAGTTATCCGTAATTTCATAATTCTCCAATTGATAGTTCCATCCAAAATCGTAATTCTATCCAAAATCGTAAATCCCTACTACTTCTTGGAGAGTCCATACAATTTCCAATTGGGGATTTACGATTTTGGATGGAACTCTAAATTGGGGATTTACGAAATTGTATGGACTCTCGAAGAAGTAGGGATTTACGATTTTGGATGGAACTCTGAATTGGGGATCTATGAAATTGTATTGACTCACGAAGAAGTAGGGATTTACGATTTTGGATGGAATTCTCAATTGGGGATTTATGAAATTGTATGGACTCTCCAAGAATATAAGTTATCCGTAAGAATTTTGATTTGATTTTATTGTTTATTTTAATTCTTGCAAATCTTTTTATGAAATTTAGTTTAACTGTTGGCTGGATTGTTTTATTTAGTCCGGAATGAATAGCTTTGCATGTATGTGGATGTATAATCAGTTTTTCGATTTGGTTTGATGAAAAGTCGAGTTGGGCTTGCGTAGAGTAACTGTGTGTGCATATGCATTGTTATTTATTTCGTTTTATTTATCTTTTATTCTCTTTCTCTGTCTTTCTGCAGCTCTTATCGTACGAATCAAATTGAAATGGTATGTCTCATTCCGTATCTTTTCTTTAGTTAACACGTCAATATTTGTTCTTATATCATTTTAATACCTATAGGGGCAGAAGTTATGGAACGACATTCGTGCAGAGACTAATAAGGTTCTATTTTACCAATCTCTTATGACCGACACTATTGGATTCCGAAATAATGAAAAAAGAACTGCAACATAAAACGGAATTAATGAAAAAAATCAAGAAGGAAAAAAATAAGAGTTTGCTCTTTATGGGAGAAGTCCCACAACGAGAGTGAAGAGCAATCGTTCGCTGAAATGTACTTTAGGTAGACTTGGTGGTAGGTCCGTCTTAGTTATGGATGTTTGCGATCTCACAACCATCCGTACATTTAGATGTTTTTATCCCAACGGAAGACTTAGGTTCACTGTGGGTTCCAGCATCCCGGAGTCTTCTGCCACTCTGATAAGAGAGTTGGACGTTGCAGTTGGGATTGAAAAAAAACTGGCGAGTCGTGACAAGATACTAAATACTAACTATAAAAACAAGAGAAAAAAACGGACGGAGCAGAGAAGTTGGCAAAAAAAAAGGCAAAAATTCTGAGACTCTGGAAGCAGTCCGTGACAATGAAGAAATAGAGCGAGCCGACTTAAGAAGATAAGAGAGTTTGTAGAAAAGTACTTTTATTGATTAAGTGCTTGGATGTTGGATTTTTGTTGGATGATTACAAACGAAGACCCTGATCTAACGGCTATGAATTTTTCAATAGAACACTCCAAAATATTCCTACAAAATATCTAGGAAGGGTTCTAGAAAGCTTTCTAGAATCCTCCAAGAATCTCTACCTATGTCTGTACATTTGGACCAACTTGGGCGACTAAGTCTTAGGCTTCTTAACCTCCCAACCCAAGGGAAACTGGCAAATGGTTGGACCAAACTGGTGGATCGTGACAAGATACTAAATACTAACTATAAAAACGAGCATAATACAAATAAACCCATAAAATGATAAATCAACTGTCATATATGAATTCATCAACTAAACGAGCATAATACAAATAGATCCTTAAAATATTAAGTTTGACCTATAGGAATGTACTTGTAAGAAAATTCATAGTTGATAGAGTAATTATAATTACCTAAATATGATATTTTTTTCGTAATTTGACCTTATCTTAGAGGTAGGGCTGGGCATTTGGGATCGGGATTCGGGATCCCGTCCCGTCCCGATCGGAATTTTACTATTTGGGACTAAAACTTCGGGAATTCGGAATAACGGGATTCGGGATTGGGATTAGGAACAAATACGGGATCGGTATTAGGGAATTGGTTCAATCCCGATCGGGATATTTTAATCCCGAATTAGGAAAAAAGAAAAAAAAAACTAATAAATACACACACACACACATACATATATATATATATATATATATATATATATATATATATATATATATATATATATATATATATATATATATATAGTGTAAAGGAGATGAGAAATACAATATAAAATATATTGTTTCAACTTATTTTTAAATTTTTAAAATTTTATTTGTTCCAAGTTTTGTGGTAAAAATAAATAAGGCAAGAACAATAGTATGTATATAATATATTCAAGTTGGTTTAATGTATAAAATAATACTAATGGAAAAAAGATGCAATATTTCTTAGTTTTTAGGCAAAATATGGGATTTCCCGATCCCAATCCCGATTCCCGAAATATTTAGGGATACCGATATAATCGGGATTTAATAGTTTGGGACGGGATTGGGATTTAAAATTTCTATCTCGAATCCCGAAATCCCGATCCTGAAAATCCCGAATTCCCGAAATCCCGTCCCGAACTCACCCCTACTTAGAGGTAGCCGTAATTTACCCTACTTGTTACCACTAAGGTAGTAAGCTCTAGGGGTGTAAACGAGCCGAGCCGACTCGTGAGCTCGAAGAGCCTGCTCGTAAAAAGCTCGAACTCGAACTCGAGATTTTCGAGCTCGAGCTTTCTGATGAGCCGAGCTCGAGACGGTTTTCAGTTGTTCATGAGCTCGCGAGCCGGCTCGCGAGCCGGATTTATTATTATTTTTTTTTTTTTTTATATGTTATTTTTATTTAAATAATGTATAATAATGTAAAATATTATAGAAATAAATACAAATATTAAAAATATATATAATTACAATTTAGTTTTTATTTTTTATTTTTTTAAATAATTTTTAATAATAAAATAATAATTAAAAAAATATTTAAAAAAAAAAAAAAAAAAAAAAAAAAAAAGACAATGGGCTCGAGCTCGAGCTCGACACAACTGACACGAGCTCGAGCTCGAGCCAAAAAAAGAGAAGCTCGCGAGCTCGAGCTCGACAAAATAAACTCGAGCTCGAGCTCGAGCCAGCCAAAAGAGGCGAGCTCGGCTCGAGCTCGGCTCGTTTACACCCCTAGTAAGCTCCAAAGTAATTAACACATCTAGGGGTATTTCGTATCACTCCGCAATAATTACATTCTTGTATAAGGATAATGATATTTATAGTTATTAAGTCATTACTTTAAAATAAAATGAAAAATAAGAGTTAATTGCAAATACCATCCCTGTGAAATCTCTAATTGTCAAATACCTTTTTGCCAAAAAAATATTCACCCATGACCCCTGTGTAATAAAAGTCAAGGCATCTAGACCCCTCGGAGAAAATCGTGGCCCTCACGCGCTGATACTGCGAATTTTTCTCCATTTTTGCATGGGAAATGTCAGATACACCCCGACCCAAGCCTTTCTTTCTTTTCCTTTTTTTTTTCTTTTTTTTTTCTTTTCCTTCTTTTTCTTTCCTCTCCTTCCTTCTTCAGCTTCCTCAAACCCATTCCGTCAAACATGTATCTCATTCCTTCTTCATCTTCCTCAGACCCACCCCTTGTTGGATATTTTGCGGAAATACATAAAAAGAAATTCAAGGAAAAATATAGGAAAGAATTGCTAAGGCAAAGCTCTTATTAATAATTTTATTTAGTGAATTCTTGATTTCTTGGGTTACAATTACAAAGGTAAAGACCCTTTAAATAGATAATAAAAAGACTGTTGAAACTCTTGCCTAGATAATTAAAATGGGCTTTCAAACTACCAAGTGCATGAATACTAAAGTGCATGAATATTGAAATGCATGAATATCAAAAGTGCATTAGTTTCAACACTCCTCCTTAATGCACTTTCTTCGGTAGCTATGAGCTTCTTTCAGAACAAGCAGTCTTCTTCTTCGTTAGGAATATGACTAGCAAAGAACAAACTCTCTTCAGTTGCTTGAGAGTAATTTGCTTGAAATTGCTTTCCTTTGAAGCGACAAAACTTCTCCAAATGTCCAAACTTTTTACAGTTTGTACACTGAGGTTTGCCTTTGTGGTAACAGTCCTTCTCCATGTGATTTGTCATTTTACAAATACTACATGGGGGATAAATCTCCTTACTACTCTTGATGGAGGTTTGTTCATGATTTATGCCTTTCTTTTTGTGACCACTCGATTTATTCAAGTTGGTTTTGGAATAGAAGGCACTTTCCAAATTCTCTTCACTGTTGCGATTCATCCTTTGCTCATGTGCTTGTAAAGATCCCATGAGTTCGGTAAGGGTTAGAGTTGATAGATCCTTAGATTCTTCAATTGCGGCGACTACATGGTCGTACTTTTCCGTCAAAGTAATCAAGAACTTTTGAACAATTCTTTCTTCTTCAATAGTTTCCCCATAAGTTCTCATTTGATTGATGAGATCGATCATTCTGGTGCTATATTGCATAGCATTCTCAGAATTTTTCATTTTGAGATTTTCCATCTCCCTTCTCAAATTTTGAAGCTTTATGGTTTTGACTTTGGAACTCCCTTGGAATTCGTTTTGCAAGATTTCCCACGCCTGCTTGGACGAAGTTGCTCCCATGATCCTCGGGAAGATGACATCACTTACTGCTTGTTGAAGATAAAATAATGTCTTCGCATCATTTTGTTGATTCTTCTTTTCTGCAGCAGAGGTTCTTTCCGTCGGTGATAATCCTTTTTCTATTAGATCCCATAGATCCAATGAAAGGAAAAGAGTTTTCATTTTGATACACCAAAAATCATAGTTTTCGCCGTCAAATATTGGAAGAGGTTGAGAGATTCCGGAACTTGCCATTGAATCTCCTTCTTGATTTGGGTTACGTATTCCCTTTGATTGATTTTGATTTTTTTTTTTTTTTTGAATGCCCCAGTTGAATATGATCAACCGGGCTCTGATACCATGTTGGATATTTTGCGGAAATACATAAAAAGAAATTCAAGGAAAAATATAGGAAAGAATTGCTAAGGCAAAGCTCTTATTAATAATTTTATTTAGTGAATTCTTGATTTCTTGGGTTACAATTACAAAGGTAAAGACCCTTTAAATAGATAATAAAAAGACTGTTGAAACTCTTGCCTAGATAATTAAAATGGGCTTTCAAACTACCAAGTGCATGAATACTAAAGTGCATGAATATTGAAATGCATGAATATCAAAAGTGCATTAGTTTCAACACCCCTATCAAACATGTAGAAAAATCTTCATGTAGAACCCATAGCCCGATAAATCTATAGAAACCACTCACATAAGTGTTTTCTCGCCTCTGCAACTCTAAGGATGACTGTTGCCGCCGCACCGGTCTCACCACCCACCGCCGCGGCATGGCGACGACCTCAATTGTGAGAAAAATCGTCCAATCCTCCATTTTTTAGAAGATCTTAGTAGATTTAGAGGAAGAAATCGAGAGAAAATAATGTTAATAACCTAATTTTAGGTCCAGTTTAATTTTTTCATAAGGCCACTAAGATGAGTGGATTAAGTTTATTCAAAATGTGAACTTCATAATGTATTGTGTCCATTGTTGAATTTTTTTGCTTGGAGTTTGTGCGGTGGATATATAGAAGATGTGGTAGTGGTGTTGATGGGTGAGCCTGGTGGTGGTGGGCTGTTGTTGGGAACGAGATGAAGATATATATATATATATATATATATATATATATATATATATATATATATATTAATAATAATAATAATTATTATTATTTTTATTATTATTATTATTATTATTATTATTATTATTATTATTATTATTATATTTTGAATTTTTCGTTTAAACTTGAAAAAACTATTAAAAAAAGTTAAAACCTAATATGACTTACTAATTGCAATACAATCTCGGGGCATTCTCGTCTTTTTACGCTTGGTCAAAGATTAAAATGGCAATGGGTGCAATATGCTTCAAAATATGTTACAAAAGGTGGTATCGGTGAATTTTTTTTAATAAGGAATATTTAAAAATTAGAGATTTCACAGGGGTGGTATTTGCAATTAACCCTAAAAAGTAAACATAAATTTAAAACATTTGTATTTAAAATTTTTATAATGTTACATAGCCCTTCAAGGCAGGCATCATCTGCATGGTTAAGTTATAACAAACTTAGTGTTACAAGTTGATCTCAATTTCCGGGCATGCTTTTTGGCAAGCAACGGTGTCATTGCCCCGTTCGTCATCGGCTCTCCCTTTCTCATTCTCTTGCTCATCGGATTTTTCCATTCTTTTCTGAGTCTATACATTGCAATGTAGTTTTCCACATGATCCAAATAATAATCACAATCCGTATCGATCAAGACCTTCTCGAGTGATGCTATCTTACACAGTTGCACGACGAACTGCTCTTCACTTTCGCACCCACAGTAGCCTCCTATTTTAACCACCTTTAGATTCTTATGCTCGAACATATATTCCTCCGTTGAAGTTACTTCTGGAAACGGCATCAATCTTTCTCTTATGATGGAATCGTCAGACGATTGGCGAGCCACCAAGTAGTCTATCTGTGACAACGTTACAAAAAAACAAAAGAAGAAAAAAGCTATCTCAATACGCATTTCAAAAGGTAAAAAGAGTACGTACGATTCTTCGAAAGAAAAAGAAAAAAACAAAAATTTACCTTCAATTTAAACTCGTGCAAACGAGAGATGCCTTGATCAATGATATGAAAAAGAGAAGGCTTCGCCCAACTTGTGACACGACGTTCAACTCCAGCCGCTTTAGACCATGTAACTGAGGCAGATCAATTTGAGCAATTTTTCTCTGAATGAAGCTCTGGAAATTAAAAAAAGAAAAAGAAAATGTCAGTAATGTTTTTTTGTGATTGCTAAGATTAGTTATTTATTATACTCGGGAAATAATGCAAATTTCAACCTACCACGGTTTGAAGATTCAATACAAGCTTCGCCAGTTGAAGCGAATAGCTCGAATGTTTGTTAGGTTCGTAAATGAAGGACGTACAAAACTTCCCGCCTAGAGTCAGCTCAGAGAGATTCGGAACATTCTTGAGGCGAACTGATTTTCTTTCCGATGTATGTACAGGAGACAAGAGTCGCAGAAGATATCACCAGACTCTTAATGTTCGGACAGTCGACTATTTCCAATACTTTCAAGCTAGGCGGATCGAAAACTTGAAGATTTATGATAGTATCGGAGGCTCTTATGGATAACTCTTCGATAACAGGACACGAGCTGAGAAAATACCAAACCGCAGTGTCATTGATATCGAAGGGACCTCAAAGAGCGAAAAGCACCAAGTGATCTTAAAACGCGAACACCGTTCTTGGACTTGCACTCCAGCGGAAACCACTTTTCAGGAGGAAATCCTAGTAGCCACGTCAAAACCTCGGGAAACTCATAGTTGTAATGAAAACCACCGGCGACCGACAAATCCAATTCGAACCTTTTCACTTGCTTAAGCATGGCAAAATATACCCAACTATAAATGGAATGAGATATCACACCATCATCGTCTTCATGTATATTAGAAAAACGAATACTGAGGCTATCAACACCTGTACCCTCGTACAACTGTAGGGTGTAATCCACCATATCTGCAAACTTTTCCATTTTCATTACTGCTCCTCCGGAAGTATCCGCAGCATCAAACACCAAATCCCTAGATGTAGACATCCACAAATTTCTCCATCGAGAAGAGAGAACACTAGTTCTAGCAGCTTCCTTGACGCTCATACGAGATAGAATCGCAATAAGCATATCATCCGGCAACTCATCAATCCCAATCCCGGTAGTAGTCGTAGTATCATGTTCCTTTACGGCCAAATTATCTATCCCGATCCCCCCGGTAGTAGTTGTAGCATTCGGTTTCTTTACGCGCACTTCATCATCCGTCGCCACCTGCTGCATCGATCATCGTACTAGATATTAATATGATAATAAATCAAGCAAATTTTAGATAAACAATCCAATTCTTTTATCAGCCAAATCAACCGTGAATACGAAAAAAAAGAAAGGAATCAAATTACGAACCTCGTCGTGTATCCTCTTCCGTTTTCGCAGATTATATGTATGTCGATCGGCTTTGTGATTGTTCATCTTCTCGATTTTATCAAAATTCTGTGTGAATTAATGTGGCAAAAGATTATATTTTTACCAGATTTTTTGATTGTTTAGCTGAGCATAATAAGAAAACACAATCCAATTCTCTGTAAATAAACAACAAGAAAGAAGAAGAATAATTGTAATCCGATTCCAAATTTTACCTGAAATCTGGGCGCACTCGAATTATAGGCTTGAACACCAAGTTGAATTGTTCTCCGATACAAACTCTGTCTTAAAACTAGGTTTAAACCTTAATTGGAATTGTTTTTTTTTTTTTTGTTTTTTTTTTGGCGCGTTAAATTGCGTTTATATAGTGTTGGGTAAAACTGGGCTTTGAAGCCCACCATCTGTCAATCTATGTTTTGACCCGTTTTGAATTGAGTCAATACTTGACCCGATTTAATACTTCTATATTTTAATTTTTCTCATCTACGTATTCCAGTCTTTGTTGGTAGTCTTTATTTAGTATTCACTAGAATTTTGAATTAAAAATAAAAAAAAATAATAAAAAAACTATGTGGAATGTTCTCCAATTTGCATCCGTTTTATCCCTTTCGAAATTTTTTGTAACAAGATGATCATATGATATGTCTCTTGGTTTGTAAATATCAAAATGTGGTGCATCAGAAACTGCATTGTTTTACAAAACGAGTACAAACTAGAAGGCATTCTACGAAATCTAGAAGATTATGTTGAATTTGACGCTATAAAGATGCATGTGTAAGAAGATTCATAGTTGATGGCTAGTTATAATTACCCAAACAAGATAGAGTTTTTCGTAATTTGATCTTACATCAAATTATTAAAAAAAAACTATTATCGGTTGTTGTAATTACCCAAACAAGAGATATTTTTTCTTAATTTGATTTTACCTCAAATTATTAAGAAGGGGTTCTTTTATCAACAGTGAGGTAGTTAGTTCAAAGTAATTAACAATCTAGGGGTATTTCATAATTCTTTTTTTACGGATAATGATATTATAGTTATTAAGACATCTTTATATATAAAAGAAAGGTTTTGCCCGAAGCCCTCATTTCATTTTTATGAAATATTTGTAACATTAGGGATATCTTATATTGTTTTATTACAGCTTTTACGTACTCATATTAAAAGAAAGTTTTTGCCCCGAAACTCTAATTCCATTTTTATGAAATATCTGTAACACTGGGGCTATTTTGTATTTTTTTTACTACAATTTTTAGTCTCGAGAAGATGCAAATTAAGGGGTTTATCCTCTAGTTTCTTCTTCCTCGATCCATTAGGCACTTTTCGTTTACCAACCGTCCTGACATCACCCTCTCCAGCTCCTGTAAAACAAGAGAAAGATGAAAATATTCGGCTTGCCGAGTTGTATTTCATTCATATGGTTTTATACAGAAGAGTTACAATTTGAATAGAGTTTGACACACGTGAAACTCTCACATTTACACAGAGAAATAGGAGGAACGTTATAACTGAATAAACTAAACTCCTAAAGACGGGGACAAGATTTAGATACGCTTAACACCCCCCCGCAAATTGATGGGGGAAGCGTAACCAGCAATTTGGAACGCAAATAATTAAAACGCACGCTAGTCTGTCCTTTGGTGAAAACGTCAGCCACTTGGTCGTGAGTAGAAATATACTTGACTTGTATGTCTTTGTTCACCACTTTTTCTCTGATAAAATGATAGTCGATCTCCACATGTTTAGTGCGAGCATGGAACACAGGATTTGAAGCAAGAGCAATGGCACCAATGTTATCACACCAGATGATCGGCGGAGAAGAAAGTGAAACATCCAACTCGCGCAATAACATTCGAATCCAATATAATTCAGCAGTAGCCAATGCCATAGACCTATACTCGGCTTATGTGCTTGATCTAGAGACAACACGTTGTTTCTTGGCGCTCCACGATATAAGGTTTTGTCCAAGAAACACACCAAAACCGCTGGTCGATCTTCTATCGTCTGGACATCCTGCCCAATCAGAATCACAAAAGGAAGACAAAGAAATAGATGAAGGAGTATAGGACAATCCATAATCAATGCTTCCTTTTAAATATCTAAGTACTCTCTTCACTGCACACCAATGGGGCTCCCGAGGTTTATGCATAAACTAACACAATTGATTTACAGCATAACTTATATCAGGACGTGAGATGGTGCAATATTGAAGGGCGCCCACAACTTGTCGATATTCAGTAGCATCTTCCAAGAGTTCGCCTTCTTCAGCGGAGAGTTTGGAACCCGATGTGGTTGGCGAAGAAAGAGGTTTGGCTCCAATCATTTTTGTTCGATGCAATAAGTCAGAGATATATGCAGACTGGCGTAAATGAAGTCCTAAATTATCCCGTGATGCTTGTATACCCAAAAAGTAGCTAATGGGCCCAAGATCCTTGACTTGAAATCCAGATTGTAATTGTTGAATAATATTAGTAATAGCCAAAGTATTTGAGCCAGTTACTAATATGTCATCAACGTAGACAAGGACAAAAATTTTATAGCCATTCATGTGCAAAGTAAAGAGAGAATAGTCAACTTTAGACTCAGAAAACCCAAGTTCAATGAGCTGTTGAGAAAGCCGTCGAAACCACGCCCGTGGAGCTTGTTTGAGGCCATACAATGACTTGTGTAGTCTGCAAACAAAACTTGGTTTGGATTCGTCAATAAACCCCTGTGGTTGCTCCATGTATACTTCTTCGTCTAGAATGCCATGAAGGAAAGCGTTTGAGACGTCCAACTGCCGAATAGGCCAATTAAATGTAACTGCCAGTGATAAAACCAATCGTATAGTAGTCGGTTTTATTACCGGTGAAAACGTATCATGATAGTCTACTCCACTTCGTTGATCGAATCCTTTCGCCACAAGTCTTGCTTTGAATCTCTCCACACTGCCATCTTGTTTTCTCTTAACTTTGTAGACCCATTTATTACGAACCACAGGCTTATTACGAGGTCGAGGACACAAAGTCCATGTACCATTTTCCATTAAAGCATCAAATTCATGTCCCATAGCCGCCCTCCACGTGGGATTCGACACTGCTTGTGTAAAGCAAGTTGGTTCATGTTCATTAAAAACACTGGACAACACATACAAAGGGTGTCTAGTCGAATAATAAGCCTTATAATCGGGAAAGTGTTTGGGTTTATTGCGGCCTGTTTTGGATCGAGTCACAATTGAAGATTTAACGGGTTGATTTATAGGTTCGGGATGATCGTGACTCGGTGCGGGGGGCAAGACGGATATTATTGGATCAGTGGTAATTGGGTGTGTTTGGGACGAACTTGCTGGCTGAGAGGGAGCAGAATGCGTTTGTAACTCAATATTGGAATTATGAGAGGTCGAATCTAAAGTTTGAGTTACTGGACAATTTTGTAAAGTATTACTAGTAGTATTGGTAGTATTAAGAGCAGGCTCAATATTTATGGTATTTAATGCAGGTGAAACTAGGTGATCGTGTGTGGGTAAGTGAGAAATGGAATCATCAGATAACAAGATATTTGGCAAAACTGGAAAAGAACTTACCGGCAAAGGAGAGTTGAGCAACGCATTCTTTGAGGAGGTTGAATTTTTAGTCACATGCTTAGCTGGAAAATGATCTTCATAAAAAATGACGTGTCTAGAAATATATACTCGACCGGTGTCTAAATCTAAGCAACGATAGCCTTTCTGATTACTAGAGTATCCTATGAAAACACATTTTTTGCTGCGAAAAGTAAGCTTATGTGGCTGATATGGTCTTAAGAGTGGAAACGAAGAACAACCAAAGACACGTAACTCTGAATAATTTGGTGCTTTGTTAAATAACACATGAAACGGAGACATTTGTCCTCAGACCTTCGTTGGTAATCTATTGATTAAATAAACTGCGGATTGGAAGGCATCAACCCAATATCGTGTCTCTAATCCTGATTGGGCCAATAATGTTATGCCTGTTTCTTGTATGTGACGATGTTTCCTTTCGGCAATTCCATTTTGTTGAGAAGTGTGAGGACATGTAAGCCTATGAAAAATGCCATGTTTCGATAAAAAATCTTTGAATTGATTGGATAAATATTCTCCACCATTGTCAGATTGTAATTGTTTAATGGAACAAGAAAAATAATTCTCAACAAGAGATTTAAATTTTATGAATGTAGCAAAAACATCTGATTTATGATAAAGAGGATATATCCAACTGAATCGTGAAAAATCGTCAACAAAGAGAACATAATAACGACAGCCACTAACAGATGAAATTGGTGAAGTCCACACATCTGTGTGAACTAAGGACAAAGGTGCAACAGATTGACGAGATGACTCATGAAAAGGTAATTGTTTTGCCTTTCCCAATTGACACGAAGAACAAAATCCTAACTTACGAGAAGAACTAGATAAAGATAAGAGTTTGAACGAATTAAAGAATCTAAAATAAATTTAGATGGGTGGCCTAGCCTAGAGTGCCAATGATCCATCGAGGTAGAAACTCCTATGGTAGCCGTTAGACACTGCAATTTATTCTGAAGACACATATTTCCAGCAATAGTATATAAACCATTTTCAACCTGCCCGTGGAGTAGCGTTTGCCCGGTCTGATTCTCCTTCACAGTGAAGTCAACACCAGTTAGTACAAAATAACAATTGTTATCCAAGCAAAATTTATTTATGGATAATAAATTGGTTGAAGCATGAGGACAATGGAGAATATTTTTGAGGTTGAATTTGGTTTGTCCAATTTGTAAAGATGTTGAACCAATGCTTTTAATTAATAAACCAGAACCATTACCTACAGTCACAGCGTCTTGTCCGGTGAAAGGTTGCTGATCGGAGAGATTGTCCGCTTCGGATGTTATATGAGCATTTGCACCGCTGTCAGCAAACCATACTTGGTGCTTATATGCAGCATTTGATTCAGCCACCATTGCTGCAAGTTCTGCCGGAGGATGTCGACCTTGGTATGAAAAATCAAACCTGTGGTAGCAATCAAGAGCTGAATGGCCAACCTTGGAACATATTTGACAAGTTGGCCGATTACCAAAGGCAGATTGACCCTGATTCGTCTTTACTGCTTGTGTGGTCTGAACATGATTGAAGGTACTGGCACTCCGTGAATTTGAAGGAGGTCGAGTTGGCTGAATGGAAGGTTTCTTCCTGTGCGTGAAGTTTGGCCTTGGTTTAGTGGCTGTAAGAGCAAAGTGATTAGAGTTTGAGGCCAAATGCACACGCTGAGAATCAATCAATCATTCATAACTAAGGAGCTCAGAGTTGAATTCTTCAATAGTGAGATCTTTATCTTGCGACGCAAAATTATACGAGGTAATGAATGGATTGAACTCTGGTTGCAAACCACCAATAATATAAGAGATCAAATCTTGATCGTCTACCGATTTACCCGCTGCGGCTAATTGATCGGCAAGAGCCTTAGCGGATTGAAGATAGTCATGTATGTTTCGACTACCTTGTGAAATTGTCTGTAGTTGACGCTTTATATGAGTGATTCTAGAGCGTGATTGACTGGAAAATCGAGTGAGCAAAGCATTCCACACTTTATAGGAACTGTCCAAGCCATACACGCTAGAGACCAATGTTTCGGAAATAGAGGAAAGAATACAACCAAGAAGAGCTTGGTCTTTCTTGAACCAAATTCCATAGGCTGGATTAGGAGTATTATCAGCTAAATTCTTATCAGGAGCGGGTTTCGAACCATCCACAAATTCCATCAAAGAATTGCTTCTTAAGAATGGCAAAAATAGAGATTGCCATCCTAGGTAATTGGGTCCTTCAAGTTTGAAGGAGACAGGGGAAGGGAAATGAGGGTTTGACATATTTTGAGTGAGGGAAGCCATATGCGGAAGCGTTGAACCAGGAGAAGAAGCGTGAGCTTATTTCCCAACTGATACCATGAAAAACAAGAGAAAGATGAAAATATTCGGCTTGCCGAGTTGTATTTCATTCATATGGTTTTATACAGAAGAGTTACAATTTGAATAGAGTTTGACACACGTGAAACTCTCACATTTACACAGAGAAATAGGAGGAACGTTATAACTGAATAAACTAAACTCCTAAAGACGGGGACAAGATTTAGATACGCTTAACAGCTCCATCATCCTCACCCCAAAACCGACCCCCTCCCAAGCACGACGCCCAAGCCACCCGACAGATCCACGCCGCCAACCGCCAGACGTGCGTCGTCGGCGCCGTGCCCCGCCCCAACCTCGGCATCGCGCCCCAGATCACCCCCCGGCTCCGCACCCCGACATATTCGCCCTGCGCCCCACGCCGACCGCCCCATCACCCAACCGAGCGATGCGCCCCGCGCGGCTCCCCAAGCCAATCGACCCACCCCCTGTGCCGCCGGTGCTCACGTTGCGCCCCGCCCCAAGCGGATCAACAATATCACCGCCACCGGCGCCTCCGCCTCTCGACGGCGCAACGGCCATCCCGAAGCTACCGAAAACGGGATTTTCCAAAACCCGTACGAAGAAAATGAGGTCTTTCAACGTCAGCCTCCAACTTATACCTCTTCGCACGACCTTCGACTGCAAATCACGTTTAGTACTCTCGAAGCGACTCGAGTGCCCCGACTCGTCCGAGAGTGGGGGCTTAATGATACACCTGAATGGGCCACAGTGAGCCATTTAGATTATAGAACCACGTGGGCCGAAAACTAGGGCTCAAGGCCCGACAGGTAGAGAAATCAAGCCCATTCCCCTATTTGGGCCCACTACTTATGGTCATATTAATAAAACACATAATTAGAGTCTTAATCGAAGAGAAACTAGGTTACTTCTCTAATTTTGATTCTTCTATTAATTAAGTATAAATAGCACCTTGACCTGAGAAGAAATGTACGTTGTGAAAAAATCCCTCGAGTACTATTGATCTCGTGTAATCTACAATCCCGGCTTAGTTCACGTGCCTTGATTTTATTGATTGGGTGGTCAAGCTCTCTTTCTCTGTGTGGTTGGATCATCTATAAAAAAGGGAAAAAAAAATTAAAAAAAAATCAATTAATTCGTTTCGATATATGAAAAATCAAATCCATCTACAAATAATCCGATTCAAATTCTCCCTGAATTAGGTTAAAATCAGACTCTTTCTGAAATCCTCATCCCCAAAAAAAAAAAAAAAAAAAAAAAAAAAAAAAAAAATCTTACCTCACTAAGAAAAAATTTCAAACCACCCTAAATAAATAACACGTCATGGCCCATTAATTTTTTTTTTGTGGGCTGAAAATACTGGAATTTAGTAATAAATCCACTATAAACGGGCTGAAATAGAAAGCTATTTACAAACCGAAACGTCGTCGTTTTTCCCTCTCTCTCTCCAATCTCTCTCTTAAATTCTCAACTGCGGTGATTGCCGCGATTGAGCGCTGCGGGACCGTGTTTGCAGTATTGCGCGGCCGATATAAGTAGGTGGACGGCTTCAATTTCGTCTCTCCGGTATAAGGTAGGTGTCCGAGCATTTATTTATTTTTTATTTTTATTTTTGAAATTCTCAGTCGGTTCACTGATACTCCAGATTACAAATTGGAATTCTGAGCTGCAGTAGTGAAATTTCTGAATTAATCCTTTTCACTTTCGATTAGATGTATCCAGTTTATGATTTCTATGAAGAACTAATTTTGACCTAGTATTTAATTAGGTTTAATTTTGGGGGTTTGTCAGAATTCAGAAGTAATTGAAAAAAAAAACAAATGTCTCCTGCTTGATTTTGCATGCTCACTCATGAGATAATTACTGAAAATATCTTAAAGTGTTAGTGAAATTCTCTATATTAATCTTTTCTGTTTTGATACATAAGAGATAGGATCGACTCAAATGGCAGAGATGGGAGGAGAAGACGATATGCCGAGGGATGCGAAGATCGTAAAGGAGTTGTTAAAATCAATGGATGTAGATGATTACGAGCCTCGTGTTGTGCACCAGTTTCTAGAACTTTGGTATCGTTACATTGCAGATGTGTTGGCAGATGCACAGAGCTACTCCGAACACGGTGGGAAATCCGCAATCGACTCTGACGATGTTAAGCTTGCAATTCAGTCGAAGATCAATTTTAGTTTCTCACAGCCTCCGCCCAGAGAGGTACGTACCCTTGCTACTTTATGCCCTCGTTGTTTTAATTCTTTTTTGAATATTTTAATTTGTTGTATTGGATTTTAATTACGTTGATGATTGCCTGCTACGCTGCTGTGTGTATATTAGAGACTGACATTTTGATTATTCGTTTTGTTCGAAATGTGGAGTAATATAACATCGCTAGGAAGTAAATTTCTTTGATTTGTATGTTTCTAAGGTGTTGTTTGGGAATTACGGTTGGGTTTAGTAGACGATGTAATTAAGCCTTGTCTAAAGTTTGGCATTTAGCTTTCAAGGAAACTGACAAAAAACGGGGCCTCGAATATTAATCAAGAAGGATACTCGGTCTAAGCTAGACCCTTATTATTACACGGCTCTATGAAGGTATAATCACTAAGTTGGTAAGTCCCAAACATAAGATAATCGCATATTACATTATGGACAAACAATGTAAACCCTAACCAAATTAACATTCCCAAACGAGGCCTAATGGTGTTTGTTTCTTCTTTAGTCTATAATACTTCGATACCTATTTTAGAGGCGTGTTAACATTCAAATGAAAATTTTGAAATTTCGTGTGAATATGTGTCGTTAACGCAAGCTAACATATTTCACAACGAAATTGGCATCAGGTGCTATTGGAGTTAGCTAGGAGCAGAAATAAAGTCCCTTTGCCGAAATCACTATCAAGGGCCGGAATCCCTCTGCCGCCAGAGCAGGATACATTGATCAGCCCAAATTATCAACTTGCGATACCAAAATTACAGAAAAGCCAACCAGCTGAAGAAACGGAGGATGATGAAGAAGCTCCTGCAGTTGCTGTTCCCAATTCGAATCCTTCTCAAGAACAAAGAGAACTGTCGACTCAAGGTACACCTCAGCGAGTATCTTTTCCACTAGTAGCTAAACATTCGAGATAGAGGTTTTCGTCTGTAATATTTTATTTGTACTTTTTTAGATCTCAATTCTCGAACATGAAAATTGAACTCTGTTTTAGCTTCGACTGTTTATTTTATTCCTTTAGATCGACCCAAATCGGATTTGTTGCTTTGTAAAAAAATTAATATTTATTTGATGGTCATGACTTGTGTGTATGTGTAAAAATAGAGGTTTAAAATGTTTTGTGGCTAAAGCGAAGCAGTGATCTGAAATACGTTTGGATTTTGCCTGGGGGTATAAATTGGAATATAATTTCCGATTTCTGCTGAATTCGATCGGAAAATTTTCAATTTTGGAACAAATTTTTTCATTCCGAATAGTCCAATTCCAATTTTTTCCGAATTTTTTTGGATCGGATTTGGAATATATATGAGATTCCAATTTTCAATCCGATTTTAATTTTAAAAGTCCCGGTATTTTCCGGGATTACACTATAATACCAATATTATTACATATTTTATATTTTAGGTTAATAGGAAAATAGAAATTTCTGAATTCCATCGATTCCGATCCAAAATGTTCGATTTTGGAAAGATTTTTTTCATTCCTATTTCCGATTTTCCAATTTTTGGAACTGAATTGAAATTAGTTTTACACTTCCGAGAAAAAAAAAAAAAGAATTTCTCTGGAAGTATTCTCTGGAATTACTGTTCTGTTCGATTTCCACCCTAATTTTGCCAAACACCACCTAAATCATCTTTAGTTCATTCGGTGCAATATACATTATAATAAAACAACACTTACATCCGCATATAGCTGAATGAATACCTTTACTCCCATAATGTATATATACAAACAACGAAAAATACAACTATAAAACCCGTGATCACTAATTCTAATTAGCTCTAGAGTCCCACCGGTAGCATAAGTTACATAACCATAAAACTGTTCGCTATAACCTTTTTGTTTATGTACAAGAATATAACTAGATTTTTACGTTACCCAAATGCAATATCCACCAAAGAATGAATTCAAGTGAGAGGTCAACTTCTCAAGCTAGCCATCGAACTAGCAGCCGAAGTCATTGTGCTCGGTACAGTAAGACCCTTATTATACATCCTCTGAATTTCTTCCCTATACTCTGTCAGTGACTTATCTGGTATTGCCGGAGTTAATTCCACCACATCCCCCATTTTTAGCTTGCGTGTAATAGGATCAATAACCGGCTCGTGGTTTAGCTGTAACCTCGAACTTCCTCGACCTGCCTTCTCTAGCAAATCCATTACGGACGAATTTGCTGGAAACTCCTGCACAGACATCTGCATTTTCCCAAATGGCGATGTTAGGAGAGAGAATATACCAAGAAAATGTAAGAGAGAGAGAGAGAGAGAGAGAAAATCCCAAGAAACGAACCTTGTCGTTTTCAATCATGATAACGAAGATGGGTCCGTCTGTGTCGCAATTAGGTCTGCAAGAAAATGTGCAATCTTTTGAGTGGATAGGGAATGTGCAAGGTGGCTTGAGGGAGTCGGTAGAAGAACCGTCTTTGCTCATTGCCTCGCACTGCCATGAAATAACCCACCGTGCCCATTCAACCATTTGGAGCACAAAAGAAGAATGTTCGGATTCTCCTTCTTTGTATCTCCAATGTGCCGCAAATCCATACTCGGCTTGAAGATGCATCTCTTTTGTTCTGATTTGAACTTCGAATGGAACCATACCCTCGCCCACGACTACTGTGTGTAAAGATCTGTACCTGCAGTTATAATTTTGAAGTTTTTTAAGTATATGATGACATAGCAAACGTGATAAAAGATTGCATTTGTTGGTTTGGTTTGTTGCGTACTGGTTAAATTTGGGTTCGGCTATGTAATCCTTGAATCTCCCGGGTACTTCATGCCATAGCTGCTGGACAACTCTTAAAGCTTTATAGCAATCTTCTTTAGTTTCGACGATCAATCTTAACCCATGGATATCGTGGATTTCATCTATATCCAGTTTCTTCCTACAAAAGGTAAAATCACAAGAATTACGATCATAATACATCTACATATAAATATATGCTTGAATACGAAATGAAAGAAGGGGACGAGAAAATGAGACATACTTCAACATTTTGGAATAGATGCTGTACAAGCTCTTGTGTCTGCCCGACAGAGAGTGATAAGAAATCCCTCCATCCTTCAGTTCTTGCTCTAGCTTCTCCAAAGAAGAAGTAATCAAGGCCTCGTCGAATGAAGTCACTAGCTTGGATGATAGTTCTTCGTGTTGGTCCGGGTGAAGATATTTGAAGCAGAGATTTTCCAGCTGGTATTTCCAAGTGGAGATCCCTAATCTATTGGCTAACGGAGCAAATATTTCCAATGTTTCCTTTGCAAACCTTTGTTGTTTGATCAAAGGCAATGCGTCCAAAGTCAACATATTATGCAGTCGATCAGCGAGCTTTATTAGAACAGCCCTAGCATCTGCCATTGCAAGGAACATGGTGTGCAACCGATCCGCCTCAACGGTTTTACTTGCCGTGTTGTTCTCCCGTGCGAGCTTACTCAGTTGGCCGAGCTTAGACACCTGGCAAAATCACGATTGTTTAGTGTACGTCCCCGATAACCAACTTCAGTTAAAACAAGACTTGATAAATAACCATTTCTTACCCCTTCTACCAGATCGGAAACTCCAGCTCCAAATGTCCGGGAAATATTTCCGTACGTGACAGAAGAGTCGTCAACAGTATCGTGCAAAAGCCCTGCAGCAACTACTGTAGAGTTGGCGCCAATGTTAGCCAGTAGAACCGCTGTTTCCACACAATGCTGCAAATAAGGATGACCGCTCGCCCGCATCTGCACAAATCGAATGCATCAGAATACTCGATTTCACGATTCTTTCGTAAAATACTCAGTAACTTTTTTTCAGAAAGATTGCTAAATACCTGGCCTCTGTGAGCCTTCTCTGCTTCATAAAAAGCCTTGACGACGAAATCATCCCTGAAAATCAAATGCCTCGACTGAGCACCGAAAAGCAGATCTTTCGCATAAGGCGGCAAGTCGACCCCCACGAAAGTTTCCTCCATACTGAAAGTGAGCTCATCGTCTGCAGATAACGAAGATGATTCCGCAGATAAATTGAATTCCTTAACATCCAAACCGAAAGCGGACGAATCGTAGTCGACACACGAACCCAACGAATGCCTCACGAGCCCATTAAACATTCCCCCACTTCCAGACCTAATTGAGCTGAAATCCGCACTGATTCTCATGGACGGGCTCCGAGAACCCGACCCGATTGAATTATTCAGGCCATGAAGCACGGAAACTGGGCTCTGGTGAGCCTGATCTCGTTTCAGAGACGAGCTCAACGAAGAGTATCGAAAAGTGGGCCCCACTTCATCGGTTCTGTCATGCCACAATGAACCGGAATCGTCGCCTCCAGCTGAATAGCTCGCCGATTTAATCGGCGGCGAGGAAATAAACCGCGATAGGCCACCTATAAAAGGCCTCTGCGACGGAGATGTCGACGCCGACGACGTTGACCGGCCGTTGACATCTAAATCGCACGATGCGTGGGAGCTGATATGGTGCGACGCGGAGCAGACGCTGCTCGGTGGACTCGCGTAGAGCGCAATTGTCGGAACCCCCATAAATCGATAATTCCTGGTTCTTCAAACAACAATCCAGCAACACACAAACCCTAATTTTTTTATTTTTCCCCCTAATTTATCTCTTTACAGTATACAAACACAATTGAAACGGAAAAAACGTGGGGGTTTCGTTGATTAATTTAGCTACAACAAACAATCTGTATTCTGTATACGTATATATATACACACAAATATCAGATAGTGGAGATTTCGGTAATTACTTTGGGAATTAAATGTGGGAAAATGAAAAAAAATAAATCAAAGAGAGTCGAATTTTGGGGACGAAGATTTGAAGGAAAGTTAGAGAGAGAAAGTAATGAAGAGTTTCTTCTTTCTTCTTCGAAACTCTGAGATATTCCTTTATAGAGAATCTGAAGCCAAGTGAATCTGGGGCTGTGAAATGACGGAAATGCCCTCACATAGTACGTGAAATAACCGGTTTATGTTATTTAATTTTTAATTGTGGATTAAGCTCGTGAATAATTGCGAGGGACTAAGTCTAATTGATAAAAGATTAGTATATTTGTTGTCGTAGGGCCTATATGGTGTTTTTTTAATTGAGTATGGACTGATATTTTAAACATGATTATTGTACGAACACTAATTTGATCGAGATTTGTGGATATTAGTGACTAAATTATTTTTATACGAGAGATGTAAACTCAATGTTTTCAGAATTGGACCGGTTATAGAACCGGACGGTCATTTGGGTCATAGGTTTATAGAGTCGGATTAGTTCAATCGGGTTTTTGATTTTTTTTTTAAATATGCTATTATTTTATTAATTTTAATATTTTAAAAATATTATTTTCTTTATATTTTTAATCTCCTACTTATTATTTTCATTGTGATCTACTTCATCTCACTTACTATATTTTATTTTTTATACTCTAATTTTTTCAGTTTTTTTCTTCAAATCCCACAATCGGCCATCCCTATTAGGTCACCCATGATCATACTCGACAATATTTCGACCACTCATGACTAGATCTGGCCACCCACTACTAAGTCCGTGAAGGTTTGCTCAAATCTAGCCACAAATAACCAACTCAGCGGTAATTCGAGACGTTTTGGCCGAAAATCGGGTTCTTTGACTGACTCGTCGGTTCTCAGGTTTTACCTGGTTGAACCGAATTTTGGTCATTTGACCCCGATTTTTGATTTTTCTGGTTTTAGATGTCAAACCGGACCGTTTTATTGTCGGGTCACGGTCGAACCGGTTCGACCGGCCGAGTCGGTCCGATTCTAACAACATTGCAGTAAACTACACTAAATTAACCATGTGTGACAAACTCAATCTAGAGACCGTTGACAAGATGATTCGAATCTGAATCAATTGACATAGTGATTAAAGTATTCTTAAACAAAAATAGTCTAATTTTTGTACTTTTTAAATTTATTGGTTATGACCGTGATCGAGTTTTACCTTTGATCCGAGTCTTATAGCTGATGAAATTATTTCAAAATGAATTATGAAAAAAATCATTATACCTATTTAATAATTTATTTTTTCTTCTATAGGACTATTGAAATATCAAAATACATATATTAAGAGCAACTCCAATGGGAGATATCAAAATGGAGCATTAAATATTCATTTGATACTTGATATAATACTTTGATACTTCCTGGAAAAAAATGCACTCCAACCGCAAGTATCAAATAGATTATCAAATTTTAATTATATGAATAATTATATTTTTAAATGCCACGTGTCAAATAGTGATAGGTTAATTGGGTGGTTATATTTTTGATACCTCATTTTCCAGGGAGTATTTTTGCACCTCGGGGTGGTTGAGTATCAAAATAATTCTCCATTTAATGCCTCCATTGGAGGAGGATTTTTTAATTTTAGAGCATCAAAGTGGTAGTTTTTTAATTTGATACCTCATTTAATGCCTCCATTGGAGTTGCTCTAAGGAGCATTATATTATAAAAAAAAACAAATACACTAATTCTCTTACAAAATGAAAGAGGAGTTGGGTTTTGGATTGAACCCCATTTTAAAATAGTCAAAGGCTTGGCTCAAAAATTTACTTACACTACTAATCACTAGATTAAACATGTGAAGTCATAGGGGTACTTTCGTCTTTTACATGTAAAAATACAATTGAATCTTCCACTTATTAATTTCGGGGAAACTTCATAAATTAGACAACTAAATAATAATAAATGATTTATTTTTTGAATTTTCAATGTATATTTTGTTTTTATTGCGAAAAATTTGGTCCTTAAAACAATTAAATATATGTTTTAAATTGGGTAGGGGAAACAAAATTGAGACAGCGTGTAGAAGTAGTAGATGGCACGTGGTGCGCAATGGACGGACCATGGGTGCCAGCTGCCACGTGGTCAGCGCCGACGGCTTACACTTGCTTCTCGCCTCTGACCACTCAATTGTTTTGTTATTACAATACAAAGTACTAAATTCTGGATTTTTTTTTTTTTGTTTTTACAATTTATGCTTTAAAATAAATTAATCTTTTTAATGTCGGTAATAATAACCAAAGCCCAATTAGATTCAAGCTGGCCCAATCAATTCTTCGAGTAAATAAAATTGTAAATTATAATTTTTTTAAATAAATCTTGTTAATATTTAATATAATAAACCCATTATTCGTCGAAAAATAACAGAGCCATTTATTATTTATTTTCTAATGAAGGAACCGACAATCAACTATATAGGTGTACATGGTAAGACCATGTAAAATAATAGAAGAGACGTAAACCATGTGTAAAAAGTTCGAGTTATCGACAGTCGACTCGGATCTGAATTCGTATAATAGAGCCGTGTTTTGATTGCGCTAAACGAGATTCCAAGAATGAACCTAACCTAGATTTAGAATTCCAACATAGTTGGAGGCTGTCTCTCTCTGCCCATGTGTAAATGTTTTCTTCATTTTTTTTTATTTTTTTTTTAAAATTAAGAATGATTTCAGACTTCATATTCTATCAAAGCTCAAAACTACGCCGTTTGGGGCGAGGCACCACGGCTAGTATAAATACTTGGCTACGTGTGGAAAAAGTAGTTGTATTGCGTATGAAATTGAATAGTGATTTTGAAAACGTGCAAGTTATAAATATTGATATATATATTTATTATATATTGACATTTTGTGTGTAATATTCCCACATCCCACTAGTCATCTTGTGGTGTACTTGTTTGACTTCGATTCTATATTTTTTTTTTATTATTATTACTAGTATTTTTTTCGATCAAAAGTAAAAAATAATAATCAATTTAATACAAAATAAGAAAATATAGTACACACTAATGTGGTAAAATTTAATAATGTAGTATTATTCGTATTTTATATAACATTATTTTTTTTAAATTTTACGTATTGAGATTTATAATTCAAATATATAGATTAAGATTTAACCATTAGGGTAGGATTCTTCATGGTTTAGTTTCAATTTTGATAATTGTTAAAACTTATAGTTAGAAAATAGTAGAGAAAAAAATATTAAAAATAAATATTTACAAAAATACCATTAGGGTTTTATTAGGGTTGTCCAACGTTTCTTTCTTTTATATATAAGATTATTATTATTATTATTATTATTATTATTATTATTATTATTATTATTATTATTATTATAATTATTATTATTATAATTATTATTATTATCATTATTATTATTATTATTATTATTATTATTATTATTATTATTATTATTATTATTATTATTATTATTATTATTATTATTATTATTACTATTATTATTATTATTATTATATGTGGGCCTGTGGCCGACTTCTTCGTTGGGCTTAAGTTCAGTTTTGTACTATTTATCTAATTTATCACAGTAGTGGACTACCCAAGAGATTTAAGGCCCATTTATATATAAAATAAAAATAAAAACAGATTATGAAAAATATTAAAGCCCGTTTGAACAACTAGTCGAAAAAAATATATCATCATAATTCATAAAAGGGATGTGATAAATGACATTCGAGCCTTAATAATACCGTTTCAACTTCAAACGTGATTTTGATCATTTTTAATTCTAAATTTTGCAAAACCCGAAAAATAGAATTTGTAGCATTATGAGTTAGTTATTTAATCCAACTTGAATCAACAAAATTTGGATATCGGACGAGAAAGATATACTTGAATCAATGAATACTGCCCACAACATTGATGTATTAAGGTATCTAAAATTCAAAATGTGACTCATTCATGCATAACTTTGTCACACGACATCCAATCTAGCGGATTTAAGTTGAATTAGAAAGCTAACTCAAAGGACTACAATTTTCGTGTTTCGAATTTTGCCAAAATCAAAATAGAAATATGCCAAAATCAAGTTCGAAGTCAAAACGACATTAGTAAAATTGAAACGACATTTAACATTTCAGTTCATAAAAGTCCTTTTTGTATTTTTGTATTAAAAATAAATTTAAAAAATACTTTCGACCTTCTTCTTTTGCCCCCTCGAAAAAGAATGATTAATTATTATTATTATAATAATAATTATATGATTTTCAATTAGATGATTAATTTCCACGAATAATAATCAAGTTCATATTTTGATTTTCAATAATCCTAAAAAAGAATGATCATAAATAAACAGTTCTTGAACGACTGTTATATTGGTTCCGCTGAGTTTTTTTACAAAGGTGTCCATTTATATATACTATAGTATTGAAATGTTCTAAAACATATATTTATTATAATGATAAAACTATTCAATCATGCAAGATTTTGTTACATATAATTTATAATTTGAGTTTTTTTTTTAGAATAAATTCAAGTCCAAATTACAAGTCTATTAGTATATTTGTATTTTTCTTAATAGAAAAAGAAAAAGAAAAGGAAAAAGAAGGAAATAGGAAATAAAATTATTTATGGAAACAAAAAAAAAAAAAAAAACAAAATTCCTAAAGCCAGTCTGGAATTGGGCTAAAGTGTAAATGGGTGCTATAAAATAGGATCTGTTGAAAAACCTCCGTCATCTCTTTTTCTTCTCTTCTTCCACCAAATTATATAAACCCCATCGCCAACTCCATCTTCACTCACTTCTCTCTCTAAATAAACATATTTAATTTGAAGCATCAAAACCCTAATCCCCATTCTGAATCGGATTAGAACAAGCTCTCCACGATTTTCACCCATTTGCTGAATCCATAATCAATTTTATTTTTTTAAACAAGGGTAAGGAGGTTTGTGTTCATTCGATCAATTGGATAAAGGAGTCTGATTAATAATCTCCTTGCTGATATTCAGTAGTCAGTAGAAAGTGGGCAATCACAGCTGGTTTTTGGGGCTATATTTTGTTTTTTACTAATTTTTTCTCTCTCTAGGGTTTAGGGTTTTCGGAGTGTAATGGATGATCTCGAAAAGGCGATTCTGATAAGCTTTGATGAATCCGGTGCAGTTAATTCAGGGCTGAAAGAACAAGCCGTTGCTTTTATTCAGCAGATTAAAGAGAACCCATCTGTTTGCAGCATATGTATAGAAAAACTGTGTTTCTCTAAGCTAGTTCAGGTTCAGTTCTGGTGTTTACAGTGCCTCCACGAGGTGCTTAGAGTTAAGTACTCGTCGATGGCACCGGAGGAGAAGTCTTTTATTCGGAAGTCCGTTTCTTCGATTGCTTGCTGCGAACCTGTACATGCTAATGATAGTAGTTCGGCGAGCATATTGGAGGGCCCATCATTTATTAAGAATAAGCTTGCTCAGGTTGTGGTGACCTTAATTTATTTCGAGTATCCGTCGATTTGGCCGTCTGTTTTTGTTGATTTCTTGCCGAATTTGAGTAAAGGAGCTATGGTTATCGAGATGTTTTCTCGGGTTCTCAATGCGCTGGATGATGAAATAATTAGCTTGGATTATCCACGTAGCCAGGATGATGTGGCGGTGTCGGGGAGGATTAAAGATGCCATGAGGGCTCAGTGTGTTCCTCAGATTGTTGGAGCATGGTACGACATTATTTCGATGTATAGGAATTCGAACCCTGAGCTCTGCTCCAGTGTGTTGGATTCTTTGAGGAGGTACATTTCGTGGATTGACATTGGGTTGATTGCTAATGATGCGTTTACTGGTCTGTTATTTGACTTGATGTTAGTGGATGGGTTACTGGATCAGCTTCGAGCTGCTGCAGCCGGTGCTGTTCTTGCAATGGTCTCGAAAAGGATGGATTCCAAATCGAAACTCTCTCTTTTGCAAAACCTTCAAATAAGAAGGGTTTTTAGGTTGGTTGCAGGGGATAGTGACTCGGAGTTGGTCTCGAGTGTGGCTGCTTTGCTCACGGGGTATGCCACTGAAGTTCTAGAATGTTCCAAGCGTTTGAGTACAGAGGAGGGTAAGGGGGTTTCGTTAGAACTCCTAAATGAGGTTCTGCCATCAGTTTTTTATGTCATGCAAAACTGTGAAGTTGACTCCGCATTCAGCATTGTGCAGTTTCTGTCAGTTTATGTTGGCACAATGAAGAGCCTTTCCGCATTGACGGAAACACAGCTGCTTCACGTGGGTCAAATATTGGAAGTTATCCGTTCGCAGATTCAGTTTGATCCAATGTACCGTAATAACCTGGACTTGTTGGACAAGATTGGGCGTGAAGAAGAAGACAGAATGGTGGAATTTAGGAAGGATTTATTTGTATTGCTCCGCAATATAGGTCGTGTTGCACCAGATCTTACTCAGGCATTTATTAGGAGCTCATTGGATAACGCCGTTTCATCCTCAGAAGATAGAAATGCAGAAGAAGTTGAAGCATCTCTTTCCTTATTTTATGCGCTTGGAGAATCATTAAGTGATGATGCAATGAGGACTGGTACTGGTTTACTGAAAGAGTTGGTCCCGATGCTTTTATCCACAAGATTTCCTTGCCATTCCAATAGACTGGTTGCACTTGTTTATTTGGAAACAATAACAAGATATGTGAAGTTCGTAACGGAGAATACACAATATATTCCAATAGCATTGCAGGCTTTTCTTGATGAGAGAGGTATACACCATCCTAACGTCAATGTATGTCGAAGGGCTAGTTATCTTTTCATGAGGGTTGTGAAATTGCTAAAATCGAAGCTTGTGCCTTATATTGAGACAATCTTGCAGGTAGCAGTTCCACATCTGATCTTTCCATTTTTGTTTTGGGGGCATATTTCATAGTGTATATACATAAAACGCTGTACCTTTTCCGCATCTTATAATTTTCTCTTTGATGCCTAATGCCTATCGGGTATCAGAGTCTACAGGATACAGTTGCCCAATTTACGAGAATGAGCACTGCCTCAAAGGAGCTTTCAGGATCTGAAGATGGAAGTCATATTTTTGAGGTTTCTTTTATGCATAGAAATATTTTATTAATTAGATTGTTTGATGCTTCCATCTGAGATCGTTCTCTTGGTTATACAGGCAATTGGCTTGTTAATTGGGATGGAAGATGTACCTGTTGAGAAGCAATCTGATTATCTATCTGCACTGTTAACTCCACTTTGTCATCAGGTCAAGTATTATGGCATGTGACACAATTTGTGTTTTTTAATTAGTTCTGAGGCTTCCTTGGGAGCTCTGCTGAAATTTTTGTTATTGTTTGATTTGTCGAAAATTGAACTCAGTTGAGATTTATACTCTTGTGCAGGTTGAGGTGGCCCTCTTAAATGCCAAGTCTCATAATCCTAAAGAGCCTCTTGCACAGATTGAAAATCTTCAGCAAATAGTTATGGCCATTAATGCTCTTAGCAAGGTATTCATTGACCTCAAGTTTCCTATTCTTTTTTTTGTGTATTTCAGTGTTGAGGCTCCTATATTTCCTTTCGTGATTATAGTTTCACATCTTTTCATTCCTATTTGAGCCCGTAAAAAAATCTAGTCTACAATCCCAAAATACAGAACGGATGTTGTCTTCTCAATCTAAGTCCCTCGAGGACGAGATCGTAATTTGAAAATATATACATACATATTTACTATGAATTTACGTGTTTGTGTCCATCCAGGGTTTCAGCGAGCGTCTTGTAACTGCTACCCGCCCTGGAATTGGTCTCATGTTCAAAAAGGTTAATTCAAGTCTCGCCTTTGCTAGTCTTCAATGAATTAATCTTTTTCCGATAACTGAACGTATCTGCATCAGTAGAGATATTTAGTTATCTTCAATATTTAGTTCTCTTTCTGCTACGTACTAATGACACGAATCTGTGATAGACTTTGGATATTCTCCTGCAAATACTTGTCGTCTTCCCAAAGATAGAACCCCTTCGCTCCAAGGTATAAGCTATTGACCTTTCGACATCATTGCTGTCTTTCATGCTATAACCAATAACACTTTGTTTTGCTAGGTCACGTCATTTATTCACCGTATGGTGGACACTTTAGGATCTTCTGTGTTTCCCTATCTTCCGAAGGCACTGGGCCAGTTGCTAACTGAAAGTGAGGTATATTGGTTTGCCTGTACTTCAGCTTTTATAATTGTTGTATGTGTCAATGATTTTTATGTGGAAGATTGACCCTACCTTGTTTAAGGCAAAGCTTATAAGTTATAACAACAGATAAGATGCTTGCTGGTATGACAGGAATACTTGTGTTTCTGTATCCTGTCTTTTACTATTAGAATTCTTGTTGACATGTACCTCTCTCTTGCTGGTTTCTCTTGTCCACATGAAAATTATATTATTGAATAGGCTGTGCACATTTTTACTTTAATTTTACATTGCGAGTGTGGGAGTAAGGAGTGAACCTTTGATCTTAATTTGTTGAATAGTGATATATCCTAAAGGAAAGTCATGTTATTCGCCTCTCTCATTGTCTATGTTGTAATTGTAAAGTTGAGGCCATCATTTTTCTAATGTTTGTGTGCAGCCCAAGGAACTGGTGGGCTTTCTTGTACTCCTCAACCAGCTTATCTGCAAATTCGGTACCGAGCTCCGTGACATTCTGGAAGAAGTATACCCTGTTATTGCTCACAGGACATTCAATATTCTCCCAAGGAATGATATTCAGTCCGGACCTGGCAGCTGTGCGGAGGTATGCCAAGTTATTAAGAATATTTTGGTTGATCAAGTTACAGTTAACACAATTGTTTCTACCTGGACTCTGTAGCAAGAACTAAGATAGCTTCATTGAACTGGTTAACATGTATGGTAGAGTCTGATCCATATATGGATCTGGAGAACCTTGTTAAGTGTTATCTGCTCTTTCTTAGCTGAGAGCTTATTGTGTGAGAGGATTTTGATATTTGAAAATGAATGAAATCATTACACCAGAAAGTCACCTTTTGGCAAAATATATTCATTTACTTTAATTTAAATCATTTTCATTTGCTTGTTGTACCTATTCCTGTAAGTTCTTGTGACCTCGATATGCCTAGGTCTCTCTCCTAAAGTTTGCTTCGCTCCTCATAGACGAGTTGTTCATTTTTGTGTTACATTACACATGTGTTTTTCTCTTTTAGATGGCATTTACTTCTAATGTAAATCTATCTTTTCAACTGATAATCAGCTACATTCTAGATCTCACTAAGGATTTTTGTTTCAGGAAATTCGCGAGTTGCAAGATCTCCAGAGGACATTTTTTACATTTCTAAATGTTATTGCTACACATGAGCTTTCCTCTGTTTTCCTAAACCCCAAAAGTAGTGGATACCTGGATATGATGATGCAGTTGCTGTTGTACGCATGTTGTAATCACAAGGATATCCTTATAAGAAAGGTGTGTAACCTAAATTTTGCGTAAGGAATTTTTTGATTTGGGATCTCTTGTTTATGAGCTATTGTAAATATGGGTCTGATATTTGGTTTTCTACATCATCCAGGGATCTGTACAAATATTCATCAGGCTAATTAAGGAGTGGTGTGCTGGTCCTTATGGCGAAGAAAAGGTATCTTAATTGGAGTAATGTTACTACAGGGTCAGTTTCTCCAGAATATTAATGTGAAAATATCTTTCAGGTACCTGGTTTCAAGAGTTTTGTGATTGAAGCATTTGCAATGAACTGTTGCCTGTACAGTGTTCTAGACAAATCCTTTGAGTTTCGCGACGCAAATACTGTAAGTTCTTTCTTCAGATATGTCTGTGCATGTACGAAATAGCTTTTCTAATTGTATATTGAGGTATCACTGAGGCCATCGTAGAAGTTTAGGACATGAAATATAATTAAATCTCTTTGTGGAATAAACAAATGCAGTATATATATCTCCTCCATGTTTTACAAAATTTGAAATTGTACTTCAATATTGGACTGTATGTTGCACTGTAAAGTATGTTTTATATCCTGTCATTTAGTCTGGTGTACAAGGATATCATGCAATCGGTTTTCTTCCTTCTTTCTTGTGAAAATGTATTAATTTAGTATCTTTATTGGCCTACTTCTATGTTAGATCCTTCCTCCTTTTGCTTTGTATAAGACTGGGTTAAGCATTATGCAGATTTTCTACGTTCTTGTTGTCGACTGACGGTGAAACTACCCTAAATTACGTTTTAAAATGGTTATTAGTTGTATTTAGAAGAATTATTACTTTCACATTTCTGGTTGTTTATCTGAGGAAGTAAGGTTCTAAACTGTGATAGGAACACGAATTTCATGTTTTCTCCGAAGCCAAGCCTACTTTATGGAATTTCAGCTGGTTCTGTTGCTTATTAAATAATTTAAATGTGATACGCAAAATAAGTAAATCTCTTTAATTCAAACAATATGAAGATATATAAACAACTATTTCGATTGACCAATTATGAAACTTCTCTAGAACTTAGCTTGGATAGTTCAATTTGGTTTGGGGCACAAATTGTCACGACATCATATAACGATCTCTGGTTAATTGGTTGTTGCTGCTCTTATTTTTCTTCCTTTCTTTTGGTTCTTGATCATCATGCCTAAGTACGTATCATTTACTTTTGTTGTGGTTTTTTTGGCAGGTGGTCTTGTTCGGGGAAATTGTATTGGCTCAAAAGGTCATGTATGAGAAATTTGGCAACGATTTCCTTCTTAATTTTGTTTCCAAAGGTTTTCAAAATGTCCATTGTCCTCAAGACTTGGCAGAGCAATACTGTCAAAAGCTGCAGGTACCATATTATGCTTTCATCTCTTTTAACAAAACGTAAAATGCAAGTAGGAACTAGGAGTTGATTTCTGACATTCTATTGCAGTACCTGATTTAGGTCAAAAATTAGTTATTGATCCTAAGTTTTTTCAAATGATACTAAGCCATGCATCCAATATTACATAATATTCAGTTTGAAAAGGAACAAGATAATTATTTCCGACATTTTTCTTAGGGTAAAAAGAAAACTAGTTATTATTCAATTCTGCATTTAAAAAGAAGGGAATTCAGACATATATGTGTGTTTGTGTGTGTGTGTGTGTTTCGTGCATCATGATGTAACGTGGCTCGTCTCTATATCTGTTAACAGGCTAATGACTTCAAGGCACTGAAATCCTTCTACCAGTCTTTCATTGAAAAGTTGAGACCCCAACAAAACGGCAGCCTCGTTTTCAGATAACAATTCGCAAACATTATTACATGTAATGATGCTAAGCTCAAATTTTGTAGCCTGTTGTTCCATAATCGTCCACCAAAAGGTTTGTTCATGTGAATTTATTAGTTAGTACCCGATTTTATTTTCATGTCTAAAGCGTGTTCATAATACAAATTTTTTTGTTGCAGGTTTCTTTGAGTGTATATACCATTTTGTTTGCCTATCACGGACAGCGAGGTGTGAACGCAACCTATTATGCTTTGCATGAAAGCTTATCCATCTTTTTGAGTTGATAATTTATTCTCGTTTCCTTTTCGCAGGTGTAAATTTGCGGAATTTCATTTTTTTTTCTTCCATATGAGTTCGTGTTTTGAATTAGAAGTATCGTGTTCGAAGAAGGCTAAGATTCTCTATCTCTGGTTTAATGGTGCCATAATGGGTTTGGGTGGAATCAACCGGTTTTATTTTGTTGAGGAAACGGGGAAAAAATAAAAAAATCAAAAATCAAAATTTTGTATTAATTAATTAGCCATGGACCTGGAAATGTTTCTGCAATTCAGTCCGGTTATATATATTAGCTCCATTTGATTCAATAATTTCGTACATAGCTTATTAATTAATTGGTACATTTTTTTTTGTTAGGATATTAAATTGTGGTGTGTATTATTTTTTTGTATATGTACATTTTGCCGAAGCCAAATTGGACTATATTACAACGTTGTCTCACAAAACATATTTGTGGTTTGTTTTTGTTTGCAAGTGGTGACTTCTTACTCAACATGTGTTCGATCCACGACTTTAAAACTTCCTTAATTTCTTTTTGAAATTTTGGTCAAGACTTTTTTTATTTTAATGAGGAAAATAAATAATTAGACTATTTGTTTCTTTCCTTTGCTTTTCTTTTACGTTTGTCATTATTTGCTAGTTGAAACTCGATTTGGTCTGTTCCACAATAATTGTCACTTTTGAAAAGATATTTTTTTGCCACTTTACATTTCCAATATTGCGTTAATTGTATATATTTTCTACTTTAATCTCACTAATTAAATTATAAGTATTAATTCTATATAAATTATTAAATGATAAAGGTTATTTTAGTTATTTTTATGTGCAAAGTGAAAATACTAAATAGACAATTATTTAGGAACTGAGAGAGAGTAATTTGTAGAGCATTTGAAATTAAATCCCAAAAAACATATTATAGTGTTAAAGAAAAAGGAGGAAGCTTTTAGAAATCTAAAGAAATCAATAATGTTAGGGTAAATTGCACTTAACTCCGCCTGATTTGGATTTTTTTTGCACATAACTTTTTTATATTTTCAAGATAAGCACATGACTCTTTCTAGTTTAAACTTTGTGCATATAATCCCTTGTATTTTTAATATAAGCACATAACCCTTTATGATATTCCACTTGGAAAATAATCATTCTCATAATAGGAAGAAATTATTGAAAGTACAAAGGGCTATATACTTATATTAAAATACAAGGGGTTCATGTGCTATATTGAAAGTACAAGGGGTTAAGTGCATAAAGTTAAAAGAAGAAGGGGTTAAGTGCTATTTAACATTTGTATTGAATTGATTGGATTTGAAAGTGACTGAACATTTTGTTGAAGGTGGAGACTGACTCGCTTTACGACGGCGTATGACGCTCTTTATACACGACCTTTGACTTTTCATTCATTTGACTACGCGTGCTGACCTGGCCTCACGACACATTTGTGTGTGTGCGCGCACGCGCCTGTTTTTTCCTTTTCTTTTTTTCTTAAATTAAATTAAATTTGCACAAATTTGAAAAGAAAAAAAAAATTCAAATTTCACCAATTTATTAAAAAAAAAAAAAAAGAATTCCAATTTTGGAACAATGATTTTTATTCGAATTCCGGAAATTTCGAGTTTCTTTTGTAACTATAACAAGAATATCGATTTCGATCCGCCCAGTTTCGATCTCTTCTTTATCAATCATTTATTTTTGCGTAACTGTTACGCTTCTATAATATTTTTATACTTTAAATCAAACACATTTTCTTTGTGTGTTTTAGATCCATATGACTACTTAATTGTATAAACATATTTCAAGTATATATATTAAAATCCAAAAAATATGTAATAAATTAATCCCAATGGGCACTAGAGACACCAAAACTATAGTTAGTAATGTGGATCCATGCAACGTGTAGTAATATATTTCTGCATTAAAATATAATTATATAATTAGTCAACTTATCCATCTAATTTTTCTACTAATTATCTGGTTTAGTTCTTAATTTCCATTGAAAAAATTACATACACATTTACATTTCAACAAACGGACGCCATACAAAATCTTACAGGATTTTAAGCAATGATTTCAAATTAAATAAGTCATTATTAAAATTCATTATATGGTGAGATTATCTAAATTAAATAAGCTCAATTAATTTATTATCGTCATTATTTTCAGCTTACAAGTTGGTTTATTTTTTAAATTAAATGCATGTTTTCACATTTAGATTATAAAAAAATAAAATGCATTAGAAATTCAAAATGTTACTACACCGTGCTGCATAGAATACCATAAAATATTTATATCTACACTCTTGTATAATAACTTGCAAATCATACGAGAGATGTAAACAGACTATCGTTGAATTCAACGTTCTGTGATATGAGTAATATCTCTTATTCAACAATAAACTAAGGGCCCGTTTGACTAGGCATATTTTAAACACTTGATTAATTCTTACACCCGATAAGTTGTTTTTAGAGCTGATAAGTTGATATGTCTTATTTTCAGAATTAATTTTTAAAGTGTTTGAATAACGATCTTATAAGCTATTTTTACTCATCTTAATTAAAAAGTTCGGTAAATATTTAAAAAAATTACCAAACACTTTAGAAGAGCTTATAAGCTCTTTTTAACAACTTATAAGCTTAGCTAAAACCCTCCAACTATTTTTTCAGAAAAAAATGGTCGGTTCATAAGTGCCTAATTCATGCATATCATGTTACATAGTAGTGGAAAAATAAAAACTTTGTCCCCAAAAAGACACAAATAATACAGTTGTCTGAAACTGCATAGAAGCTAATAAAAAGCTAATTCTAAAAAGCAGGAGCATCACTCCCAAACAGTGTAACACAACATTCATACACCTTTTTCTCATTTTTCTTTTTCTCTCTCCAAAACTAATTCTTGAATTAAACTAATTCTTTTTCCAAGTCAACTGAATAGAAAAAAGAAAAAAAGACAAAAGAGCCCCTCCCCTTTCTCCACACACTATATATACACACACATCATGTAATAACAATAATTCAAACCACCAAACAAGAAGACAAACAAAAAATGGCAATCAAGAACATAAAAAAATGGAGATCAATTATTATTCCTTCTTGTTTCAAGAACCACAACAATTTAGATACAAAAAGCCAAGTTTTTAAACAAATCCCGCCTTCTAGAATATCCCTTTCCGATTTTAGCTATCCGGGCTCGCCTCTATGCCTAAGCGATCTCTCGAGCTCGAAATTCGCGTCGAATCTCCACATTTTCACGCTCCCGGAGCTCAAATTGATCACAAATGGCTTTTCGTCGAGCAATTTTCTAGGCGAAGGCGGGTTCGGGCCGGTTCACAAAGGGTTCGTTTCCGAAACTGCGGGTCGGCCCGGATTGGAGGCTCAGCCCGTTGCAGTCAAGTTGCTCGATTTGGATGGTGATCAGGGTCACAGGGAATGGCTGGTGAGGATTATTCTATCACATATAGATAATATATAATATAAAATATCTTATCTTTCTTTTTTTCTTTTTAATTATTTAATTAATTGTGTATTATTTATTTTTTGAAATAAAATTGCAGACAGAAGTTGTGCTTCTTGGACAATTGAGGCACCCTCATCTTGTGAAGCTGATTGGATATTGTTGTGAGGATGAACAAAGGCTTCTTGTTTATGAGTACATGACCAGGGGCAATTTAGAGAATCACTTATTTAGAAGTAAGCTTTTTTTTATTTTTTTTTTATTTTTTAATTCTAAGTTATAATTAGTGCTATACAAAACCAGATTAAAAAGGAACTAATTAGTTTTAAATTATGATTAATTATCAGGATATACTAGTTCGTTGCCATGGTTGACGAGGATGAAGATTGCGGTTGGTGCGGCGAAAGGGTTGGCTTTTCTTCACGGAGAAGAGAAACCGGTTATCTACCGCGATTTCAAGACTTCGAATATTTTACTCGACTCCGTAAGTTTCCTCTCTCATTCTTGAAAAAAACAATATGTATATTTTTTGTTAATTTTAAATTTATGTGGTTCTAACGTTATTGATTGATTTAATAGGATTATAATGCTAAGCTTTCGGATTTCGGGCTGGCGAAGGATGGCCCGGAGGGGGACGACACACACGTATCGACTCGTATAATGGGTACGCATGGATATGCAGCTCCCGAATATATCATGACAGGTCATTTGACAGCAATGAACGACGTGTACAGCTTCGGGGTGGTGCTACTAGAACTACTAACGGGCAAACGGGCCATGGACAAGGCCCGGCCCGCCCGAGAGCAGAACCTAGTCGAATGGGCAAAACCCTACTTAAAGGATCACCACCACAAGATCGAAAGATTAATAGACCCAACACTCGAAGACCAATACTCGAGCCAAGGAGCCAAGAAAGTAGCTTCGTTGGCTAACCAGTGCCTTAGCCACAACCCTAAATACAGGCCGACTATGAGCCACGTGGTCAGAATCTTGGAGTCTATTCTGGAATATTCCGATATTCCAGCTGGACCCTTCGTTTATGTCGCACCCACCGAAGTGAAAATCGATGCGAAAGTCAGTGAAAACGAAGCTACGTGTAAGGAAAATGGAGATCAAGTTGATGAAGGAGGAGACGTAAAGAAAGAGTATAGTAAACAGAAAACGAAAGGTTATAGGCATAAGCATCAGATTAAGGTTCGAGCTGTATATACGGACACTCACGTGTATAATAAAACACTAAGAGACGAAATAAAAAACTGAAAAAAAAATGGAACATACTTTGATATCATTCTTCAATATTTCGTATTTTTGGTAGTCGTTTCGTTTCTCGATTTTCTTGTTCGTTTTCTCCTCCTAGGCTTTGTTGAACAAGTTCGTTCTGCACACTCATCGCTTAGCCAATTCGCATGAAATTTCTCTTCGTAAGGAACAACTTTTCCATCAACAAATGGTTCCCCTGCAAAAGAGAGGTCAATTCTCCAATGAACAATTTTCCGAAAACCAAGAAAATCGACCATTACAGACCAAATCACCGTCTTATGTTACATATTGATGTATATTATTTATACGTGTATTTTCGGGAAAAAAAAATCGGAATTTTTCGGAAAATAAATCAGATCGGACATCGGAAATTCCAATTTTTTTTTTATATAATTCCAGTTCCAATCCAAAAAAATCGAAATTTCGGAAGTCGGAATGAGAAAAATTGTTCCAAAATCGGAACTTTTCGGATCGTAACTGGCGGGAATTGGAATTTCCATTCCAACTTGCACCCCGAGTTACATAAGTACTCGGTTTTTCTACCCAACAAAAAAGATAACGAAACCGAAGCTAACGATAAATGAACAGCTCAAACATATGAATGTAAGAATATACCTCCATAGCAACTTTCTTGAGTGCATAAGTAAGAGTCTGGCAAAACCCATTTTACACGAGGTAGTGCTGCAAGCAATACAGAAAGATGAATTGAAATTATATATACTAAATAAATAAATAAACTGAAAAATGACAAAAGTTGATGTTCAAGAAAAAAAAAAAACTACATTTGATTCTGTGAGTCACGTTTTCAGTGATTTTACAGCTGAATGCGTAGTAATACTTTGTTGATACCGAGTATATCGACTCCATTGCAGCCTTCTCACTGCACACACACAGTATAAAAATCGAATCTTGAAATTTTTTCAATCTTAATTATTTATTACACACTAAATTCCGACCAAATTCGTTGTAATAATTTGTGAAAATGCAGATATTTTTACCTTCCAAGAGCCGTTGCTAGAGTGGCGACGTACTGCTGGATGATTTCTTCTCTTTGGGGGTAATTTTCAGGTGGGTGCATGACCACGAGCCAGTGCCTGTAGTCGCAGCCGTCGATCAATGAGTCGACTCGCGATAACTCGGAGGTTCTGGTTTGCGGCGGCGAGTCGGAGCTCACTTCACCGTCGGAGAAGAAAAGCCGACGGGTGGGTTGGAAAATTGAACCGGCGTGACGGCGAGAAATTGGGAGGTTAAGGGCTGCCGTTAAATTAGAGGTCGTCGAGAGGACTTTGCGCATCATGGTTTGTACCTTGCCCAATTTTGAACAAATGAATATTAATGTGGTGGATTTATTAAATACTTAAATTTATGTTGTATTTAAGTATATAGTAAATTACGAAAACTCCTGAACTTAGGATAAATTATGAAAAATACCCCACCTATTTATAATTATTCAAATCCCTCTGACGTTCTTGCGGTATGATTTATTATGGAATCGTTTTTATTATGGGGAAGAATTCACAAAAATACCAATTCTAGCCCTGCATATGTCGCATTTCTTTAATACTAAAAAGTTTTGAATGTGTTATTTAACAATAATAAAGATTTCTTCCTGTAAAAGCCCTCTAAGGGTAATTTTTGCCTTTAAAAAGTATCATAAAGAAATGTCACGTGGGATCAAAAGGATTCCGTGAAAAATCACACCGTACGAGGGCCAGTGTTGGAAACAGACGCCCTGAGAATTTCGGTAATCACATATAGGTGGAGTTTTTTTCGTAATTTATCCTAAGCTCAGGGGAGGTTTCGTAATTTACCCTTATATATATAATATTTGTTTTTTTACAATTTATTTCATTTTTTAGGTGAATGTGCATGGTGCAGCAGCTTATTATTTCAAGATTAAATGCTAATTATTATTCAAGAATACATTATTAATAAACCATTAAATCACAAACATAACACACACACACACACACACACACACACACACACACACACACACAAAAAAAAAAGAAAAAAAAAAAGAAAAGAAGAACTAGCAATAAAAATCACAAGGAATAGAGCTCGAGTGGAAGCCTGGGCCCGACAACAGTAACAAGTGGGACCTTTCTGGGAGTTGAAAGCCCGAAAATCTCATCCATATCCAAGTCTTCGGGCTTCATATTATCCGGCAATTTCCAATTAAACCCATGCAACAGGTTAGCCAAACTGGATTGGATCACTTTCAGGCCCAAACTATAACCCGGACACATCCTCCGACCCGACCCGAATGGCAGCAGCTCAAAATCCTGCCCCTTCACATCAATATCTTTCCCAATAAACCTCTCGGGCCAGAACTCATTCGGGTTGACCCATATTGCCGGGTCCCGCCCGATTGTCCACACGTTGACCAGCACTTGTGTCCCCTTTTCAATATCATATCCATCCACCTATTTATATATATACAAAATATATATATAAATCAATAATTTGATTTTTTTCTGTTGTTGTAAATTCAAATTATGAAATGTGACATGAATAATTGTGAATTGTAGTAAGTACCTTGCAATCTTCTCGTGACATTCGAGGTACTAGCATGGGTGCGACGGGGTGCAGACGCATCGTTTCTTTGATGATTGCTTCTATGTAAGGGAGATTAATTATGTCTTTCTCTTTCACCCAATTATTTTGTCCGATCACACGATCGAGTTCTTCTGTTGCCTTGATGAAGATTTTGGGTTTTTTCAAGATTTCCGAAATCGCCCATTCGACTGTCACTGCCGAGCTCTCGGTCCCACCAGCAAGCAAATCCTGAAAATTTAAACATATTTAGTAATAATTATAATTATTTAGGTAATAATCATGGTCCAATCTCTATTATATAGTATATCGATGGTCCAATCTCTATTATATAGTATATTATTGTTACCAAATTTCAAATTAATTAATTACACTTTGAATAATTTTTATTTATTTATTATCTCTCACTTTAAAATGTCAACAATACAATTGATTATTACTTTATCAACTAGTTATTTATTGTTCTTAATTAATTAATAAAAAACTTAGGTGTAAATATAATGATTTTTTAGGAAATTTACAGTTTTCATCCCTCAAGTTTGCATCAATTTCACATTTAGTCCTTCATGTTCACAAAAAATACATTTGGTCCCTCATGTTCCAATAATTTAACACTTTTGGTTATTTCTGTCAATTTACCGTTAATCCGTAAATTAAGGCAGTGATCGGCACACGCTTGATTCCGTTAGTTTTAATAGAGAATTGACGGATATGACTAAAAGTGTTGATTGTTTGAAACCTAAGGAACCAAATGTAAAATCGATGCAAACTTGAGGGATGAAAACCGTATAATTTTCCCCATTTTTTTTTCTTTATTTTGAAAGTTAATAAAAAGTCAAACCTGAGTAAACGCTTTGACGCCATGCCTCTCCAACTTGACCTCCAAAGTGGGGTCCTCCGCCAGCTCAAGCAGCAGATCCACCATATCTCCGCCGCCGCCACAATCCTCCGCCGCCGTCTTCCTCCCCCTCCTCCGCTCCTCGTGCTCATCAAGAACATGCTCCAAAAACCTATCAAACTTCCTGCTAACAATCTTCATCCTCTTCACATACCCCTGCAAATCCAAGAACCCTAACCACGGTATCAAATCCCCAACGTTCAAAACCCCGTTCAGCAAGAAAAGCTCGTCGATCATCTTCTTGAACTCCTCCGGCGAAACGACGGCGTTTTCATTTCCTTCGTCCAGATACCTCTTCCCGAGAACCATGCGGCTGATCACGTTCAAGCTCACCGTCGACAAGAAATCCTTCAACGGAAAAGGTTTTCCGGCGGTTTTATACACCTCCTTGATCAGAGAATTCATCTCCTCCAATCGAATGTACTCGTACGATTCGAGCCTCTTCGCGCTGAAGAGCTCCATCAGGCACATTTTTCGGGCCTGCCTCCAGTACGGGCCGTACGGGGACCACGTGATGTCGGAGTAGTTGTAGGTTGTGTACTTTCCGGCGGCGGTTTTGGGCCGCGAAGCGAAGGTGGCGTCCATCGTTTTCAGGAAGATTTTCGCCGTGTCGACGGAGGAGCCCACCACGATGGGACACGACCCGAACCGGAGATGCATGAGGGGCCCGTATTTTTGGGAGAGGTGGTGGAGGGAGCGGTGGGGGAGTTCGCCGATGAGGTTTAGGTTTCCGATCACCGGCCAGGGTTTTGGGCCGGGTGGCAGCCGGAGATTCTTGGGTCGCCGGAAAAGTTTGGCCAGAAAATGTGAGGTGAGAATGGTTAGTAAAAGTAGAAGTCCACAAGTGGACCAAATTTGAGTTTCCATTACTTCTTGTCTGGTTTTTTTTAGTGAAATGTATTTGATGAGTGATTAGGGCGTGTTTGGAGTGGTGGAATTTGAGGGATATTTATAGTTGAAATTAAATTATGAAAAATTAAAAAATATGTGTTGATTAATTATAATATGGTTGACTTGTTTGTGATCACTTTGTGGTGATATATTCCAAGAAATTATGTGTATATTGCAGTGAACCTGTGGAGCAATTGTTTCTCATGAATGAATAATGAATTAATTTATTTATTAAACAATTTTGGGTAAATTACAATTTAGGTAATTACAGCTACCCTATTGACCATGAATCTTCTTACACGTCTACCCTTATGGTGTCAAATTCAACATAATCTTCTAGATTCCATGGAATGTTCTCTAGTTTGTACTCGTTTTGTGCGAAAATGTAGTTTTTAATGCACCACAATCTGATATATACAAGCCAAAAAACACATCTTATGATCATTTGCTTCGAATTTGGAGCTCGGATGGGATAAAACGTGTACAAACTTGAGAATATTCCATATAATCTAGAAGATTCCACTAAATTTGACACCGCGGATGTGGACGTGTAAGAAGATTCATAATTGAGGGGATGGTTCTAATTACCCAAACATGAAAGATTTTTTCGTAATTTAATCTTGGCTCATGGATGTGGCCGTAATTTACCCAACAATTTTTGTACATATATAATTAAATGGTTATATTAAACAAAGTTTGTAGGGTATCAAAATTTAGTGAATAAAATGATTAGCATTTTGATAAAGAAGTGTGAGCTTTTGGAAGCACTTATTTTCCTAGTGGGTGCGAAGAAAGTCATGGTAAATGTCACGTTGCTTTCCGCCTATTTTAATTATATTTTTCCCACCATTAATTAATTTATTGCCAAAATATTGAATAATAAGGGGATATTTGACTCAACTCATAAGTCATACGGCCTAATGGAATGGTGGCTCTATGCCTATATCTACCTTCAGGCCCCTCTAAGGTAGGGATGCGCATTCAGGATCGGGGTTCGAGATTCCGTCCCGTCCGATCAGGATTTCACTATTTGGGACTAAAAACTCTAGAAATTCAGGATCGGGATTCAGAAGAAATACGGGACGTGATTCGGGAGTCGATTAAATCCCGTTTGAGATAATTTAATCACAATCTCAATCTTGAATGATTTAGAAATTCCCGATACACTGGGGTTTAAAAGTTTGGAACGAGATTGAGATTTGAAATTTGATCCCCAAACCCCAAAATCCCAATCCTCAATATTCCTAATCCCGTCCCGAACTCACCCCTATTACGGAGAAAGAGTAATTGTTCAATGATTCTACTTTCAGATGATTATATTATAATGGAAAATTTTCCCTACTAATAATCATAAAGTAAAATATTTTGAATAAGCTAATGTGTGTCGGATAATGACGTCGTATTTATGACGTCATCAAGTTAGCAGGCCACTGGGCTCGTTAGTGGTTTCAAACAACTCTGTCAAACCATTATTCATCATACATTCATACATAAGAATTTGTCCAAAAGACCACAAAAATTGGAAAAGGGCAGAAGTGGAATTTCCAAATTTGAAATAAATTATTTAGTTTCAATACTCATCTCTTATTATATTTCTCCAATGTAATCTTATATTTCTAATGAATACATTTCAATATTCAATTTTCGCACCAACTAATGATAATTTTCCAATGATCTTATACATACAAATATACATCCAATAATCTCAAACAATTAGCTATTACTGACAAATAATTACCACTATACCCCTCATATGGACACACTATTAGGCACACCACGGCCCGTCACTCCGGGCTCGGAAGTCGGTGCAAGAAGTTCGTACGGTAGCACCCCGGCTCCACACCGATTCCTCAGCTTAGGATCCATATTCCTTCTGTCGATCTCCTTTTCGACCCGACCCATTTCGGCCGAGAACTCGTAAAACGATTCGATCACTTTAGCATCGCCCGACCAAATCGATTGGTGATGCCTCTCCCCTAAATACTCCTCGTCGGGCGAGTGAGTCGATAAAGTATCCACCACCGCCATGAATTTCGTAGCTTGCAACAAACTCGGTAGCGCGCTGAAGAAATACTTTTGCGGGTCCGAGAGAAAAACCGCGTACTCGGGGTCGTTTTCGTCCGGAATTAATCTTCTGACGAGCGGCGGCCGGTTCGGGACGTAGCCCCCGTAGGGGTACTGCCCGAAATTTAGGGCCGCATGTTGCGCGGAGGCGAGCCATATTAGGGTTGTGAGAATCGAGGTGAGGTCGTCAGGGGTGGCTAACGTGGGCCACCACTCCTCGTGACGGAGGTCTGCGTGGCCCACGTTGATTGACTCGGCGTACCAAGCCTGTAGCTCGTTGTCGTTGCAGACTTGGGCCGAGTCTTGGTAGTAATGGTTTACGTAAGTTCGGACCCAATTTTCGATTGTGGCCCATATCATAAGCCCATCAGAGGCGTAAGGGTAGTCCTCGATAGTCAATTTAAGCCCGTGTGGTTGCGTGGGGTCCGGTACCGCCATTCCTCTGAAAAAATTCAATCAAATCAAGAACATTAGACTTTCAAGAAAATGGGAATTATGAATCAAAATTTCCAATTTTTTTTTTTTTTTTTTTTTTTTTTTTTGTAATAATATCTACCTTCGGATGAGATCGGCGGGGAGGCCTTCTTGATCGAAGCGCCAGAAATTCTTGTAGGCGGCGGCACTAAGTTCCATGCAATAACGGCCGGGGGTGAAGCAAGACTCGATCACACCATCGACACTAATCAAGCTTTGACGAGCCAATGCATTGATCTCCAACGTGTATCTCATGTGCGGATCCAAAAGTTTGAAAATCGGATGCATCGCGCTCAATTGCCTATGTGCCGCCAAGATAAACGGCTCCATCGTCGCATGTGTACGTAGCCTAAAGAGAAGAAAAAAATTCATTAATTTTAGTCGAGCTATGAATAATATTGATCCGAAATTACGTAAATATAATTTTTTACGTACCAATGGTTGACGAGTTGATGAACGCCGGCATCGTTGGAGCAGACGTGGGATTTCGCCAATTGCCACATCCAATAAGTGGTGGCATCTACTGGCGGCGTGAGCACACGTTTCGACTTCGAAGTCGGAGAGGCGGTCGACGGGAGGCTAAGCTCTATCGCTATAGGTTTGAGTGTTCCCACATCACTCAAGAAAAATAACGTACGCGTGGCATACGATTTCCGGCCGTCGAGGGCGTTCATTTTGTCGAGAAATGGCAAGTAAACATCGTGATAATCGATTATAAATAGCTTGTTTGCATCCAAAGCCTGTTAAATAGTTACAACATTAGAACAATCAAAATCGATACCGTTATAAAGTTACTAATTTTTTCACTCGAAAAATAATTAAAAAATTACCTCTTGTATAGTCATGCCATTGAGTTGACCAGCAATGTGTTCTTCTTTGATAGCCGATTCTTTGGGTCCGTAAATTTCGGGGTCGAGCTTACTTACAGGTGGGAAAACCTGAAGCCGCTCGATGTTGACTGGATTAACCCCTGCTATAGCTTGACGGGCAAATTCGTCGTCTCTCAACCACGCGTATTTATCCTCTGCGAAAAACATTCACATTGTATATTAGCAACTCGGACAATGCGTTTGATGTTAACTAGGTTTTTACGTCATTTTAACGAGAGAAAAGTGATGACAGAAAAAAGATACTCACTCGATACAATCTTTGGAAGGTCGTATTTGAGAAGACCGCCTTCTTGAATCTTGCTAATAGCCTTAGGCATAGGGATCTTCTTCAAGATTTCGTCGTGGAGTCCGAGTTTGAGGAAAAGACCTTTGCTATATAGACTATCGATATCGGAAAAACCCTTGAAATCCTTGTTATTTACGGAAATGCTCGCCATTAGAGACGGTATAAGGTTATGAAGAACGGCCTTTAGCCTCCCCGTCGAAAATGCATTCATTTTCGATTCCTCAAATTGCTCGTCTCTCGGAACGTACATAGGCAACGGCTTCTCTACTCTACTCTCCGAATTCAAATCTGGTTTAATTTATAAAAAAAGAAAATACATAAAATTAGAAGATTGATTGAATTTTTTTTGATGAAAAGTGGTGATCGAGAGTAAATTAAACTAACCGGTATCGGTTGGAGGGCGACCCGTACGGCAGCGCCTCGGATAGGGTATGTGGTCCCCACCAAGAATCGGACGGGCGGAGTCGATACCTTTGTCGGGATTTCCGAGATCATTGTACACATCAAAGTCATAAACTCTATCAGAGAGCTTTCTTTCACCTTTTCCATCACCTCTTTGTTCTCTTAGCTCCTTTTCTCTTAGAGCTTTTAGCCCTTTTGGTGTTTCATTGGGCAAATATGGCTGTTGAGAAGCAAAAAAATAAATAAAAAACCCAATAAGTATTATTAAATTACTACAAGAAATATTAAGTATAACCTCGATAAATTAAATTTTTTTCGGTCCCGACTCGATAAAAACGTAATAAATTACTAGTTCGATAATTTAAAATTTCGTTAAATTAAAAGATGCCCATGTTTTAAGTGATAAATGATGTCTAAATAAACAATGCTTTCTTTTTTGTTCTCTTTCATCATGATCTCAACTTTGTGCTTAGAATATTTTTCATAGTGCACCAAAGATAAGAAATTTAAGCATATCCCACTAAAAATAGCAAATAGAAAAGGCATCTAAGAATCAAAAAAATCAAATCTTTAAACTTCCTTTGCGTTTTAAACATGACCTCAAAGAACATATAATAATAATAATTAATTTTCTGAAAAAAAAATCTAAAAGTTTAATCTTTTAACTTTTTTCAGCCTCTAAAAAATTAATATTAATTACAAAAAAATGGGTTTTAAATTTTAATTAATAATACCTGATTAGAAAAGAAGATTCTTTTTCCAGGATGATCTTTCTTGGATTGAACCCAAGAATTGCAGGGGAAATGCAGGGGCCCACATGCAAACCCTTCAATTGTAATACTCTCCAAGAAAAATTCTTGTTGGTGATTATTACACACTGTAATTGCACCTGGTGTACCAAAATTAGTGTCCACTGTAAATTCTGCTGTGTAATTTACTCTCTCTGTTTTCAGGTTTGCTTTCTTGGACCAGTCCTTCAGCTTAGCCTCACTGCTTTTCATTGGTGCCTTCGTTTCTAATTTAGCAACAAAAAAAAATCCAATTTAGCAACAAAAAAACAAAAGAATCCACTTTAGCAACAAAAAGATTCAATTTAGCAACAAATTTCATTAAAACACAGAGAGAGAGAGAGAGAGAGAGAGAGAGAGAGAGAGAGAGAGAGAGAGAGAGAGATTACTTGGGTCAATATCAGTGCTGATAAGTTGCAAGACTACATTTTTACCAATCTTGTCGGTAAAAGCATCCAAATGTTTGACTAATGTATCCTTAAAATCCTCCTTGTTCTTGTTTCTAACTGTCAAAACTGCCCTCACCTTGAATTTAACTGCCTTTTCAGGCAGGACTTTCACCAAATCCAAACCCTCGCTAATGGCTGCAACAGGGGTTGTACTTTTCAACCCTCGTTGTTGTACATTCTTTCCATGAAAGGGTAGAAAAACCCGGTTCTTTTGCTGAGAGAATAACACCCTTGTTGTAAGAAATGGTGATTTCTCCATTACAGAAGAACCCATGATTTCTCTCACCAGTGCCATTTTTTTTTTTTTTTTCAGAAAAAGATTGAATCTTTTTTGATTTTTCGGCTACCCTTTTGTCAGAGGAGTGAGAAATCGATTTTTTTGAAGGTGTTTATGTTTATGAATTGTGAATTATGAATTTTGAATTATGAATTATGAATTGTGTGTGCGTGTGTATTTATACTTGGAAAAAAGAAGATGATCTCACCGGCCAACACGTTTTTTATTTTATTCTCATGACCAACATGCAATAAGTCGCTATTCCATGTGTGCGTGTTTTAATTACTACAAAAAACAATATATATAAAATAAAAATATTAATATTGTTTATTTTTGAATTTTCGAAGAATTTTCGTGTGTACTATGATTTTGATCTAAATGGCAGCTGTGGGAGTCAAAAGTGTTTGGAGTTTCCTAGATCTAACGCGGTATAATAGAAAATGCGACTTATGTTGGTGGGCCTATTTTGCCCTTGTCCTTTTTCTTAAATGGCGATTTCGTCCTAGTGGATCAAAAAGTTCAATTCCAACTTGTTACTTTCCTTTTTCTTTTACTATTGGACTTGATTTTTTTATGATACAAATAGATGGTGGAGTTGTAGTACACGTTGTTATGTTTGTCTTCAAATCGTTCACATATTGATGCATGATCACTCACCTAATTGGGTCAATCCAATGGGCTTATAATTTCTTTATTTATTGAGTTACGAGTCCAATATGAAAATCACTACAACCGAAGCCAATCACCTTTAAATAAGATTTGGGCCCGACAGTTAAAATCAAGTAACTTCAGCCCAACCAACTCGGTATAAATAAAGATGACAAATCATTTGTTAAGGTACGTTCAATATTCGAACTATACAACTGCTCGTATTCTCTCTACGACTTTTGCTATCCACACACCTGACTTAGCGTCAGAGGGGTTTCCGTGGGATCAACCCCATGCTTAGCTTACGTGTTCTCTGATCGCAGGTATCTCAAGGTCATTAAGCTCGTGAGCCAGTGATCCATTTTGCTCTTCCAGCTCAACTACTTAAGATGATCTAATTCTAACATCATCAGGTCAAATTGAAAAAAAAGAGGTCGAGAGTCGGATTTTATGTTGACAAAATGGATGATGTATGTTCGTCTGGTCTATAAAACATACTTAAAACACTATGTAACGAACTAGTGACGATTAAATCGACACACTTAATGCATTATGTAACAAGATCATATATCATATCTTGATGGTTAAGATGGAAGGTGTGAGAATATTTTACTATATGAAGAGTTATTTTACATGGTGATGGTTCTTTTTTAGACATATTTTATACGTCGATAAGTGTTCAATCTCTATTTTCTACAACAAGTAATGGCGTTTAATGAAATTCTCAAGCTTATTCGACTTAAACTAACTATAATTGAACACTACTCCAGAATCATTGATTAGTAACGTTTATGATCGAACTCTTTAGTAGTAAAAGGTTGCAATTAATGTAATGCTTTCGAAAAAATAATTCAAGAAAAACTCATGTCAAACAAGTGTAACATTGTTTGTTCTATACTAGACCTGATAAATTTTACTGGATTATATCTTATCATATATATATGATGTGTGTAAATTAATAAATGTATAAAAAAAAACCATCTTAAAGAAATGGGACAATTTAGGTAATTTAAGAAAAGATAAGGGCATAAAAATATTTTCTAAGCAAAGAATTGAAGAATTTTTTTGTCTAAAAAAGATTAAAAAAGAAAAGGCGTGATGGAATTTCCTTAGAATAAAAATGTGCCTGCAGTTTGGACGGTTGGCACACAGTTTGGCAGATTGAAAGTCACTTTCCACCGTTGGATCAATCCGTCCCAGCCACTAAGCTGCGATTGCTTGCGGACTTATGTTCATACCTAATTTTGGTCAATTTTAATTTTCTGAAAATTTTGTTAAAAGTTATAATTTTACTTTTTGTAGTCAATTTACACCTTGATAAGGACCTAATCTCTTGTCATTAGTTTTACTTTTCATTAATTTGATATTTAATATAACATATAGGAAAGGAACCATAAAAAAAAATATATATCATAAAGAAAATATTATTTTGTCAAAAAATAAAATTAAAATTCAAGAATTTTAAAGATGAATTTCAAAACTATAATAATAAATTAGACTTGTATTGATAGGAATAAAAAAAAAAATTGCACTTATATAGAATAACGTACTTGGTGTGCGGAGTCAAATGACTTGAATTCGATTTTTTCTTGAATTATTGCATGAATTTGACGATCGATAAACTTAATAATTAACTGAGAGTTCCTTCATTTTATATATAATTATATATTATAAAACCATAGAATACCTTTGTCAAAAACCAAGGAGATTTTGCCATGACCATAGCTTTGTTTGAAGTTTGACCATGAAACTTAATAATTTTCTTTTATTAGAATAATCATAAAATAATTATTCAAAACTAAGTAACATTTTTCTTCTCTACAATATTTCTTTCCACGGATTAAAGTACTCTGGTGAAAGTCGACGATCTTATTTTCCCTCCGACTACAATTAAAATTAGTATTAATGACAAAAATCTATTATAAATTTATAAATTATAATGCTATTTTGAATTTCTTACGACTTTTTGGAATACTTGTATTCTCGGTTTTTAATTTGGGCGTCGGGGGCAATCGTCGGGAAAACTCCGATAAGTCACCTAATGATAACGGCGTGAAATAAATTGTGGTTAAATATCATTTTCCTGAAAAGATGTCAATCTTTGACATGTTTGACCAAACGGACGTTAACCATAAAGTCTGAGGCTAGCATAGCACCGTCCATATTCAAGAACTAATTAACAGTCTAGTTAACGTCTGAAAAATAAGCATGTAATTAATATAGCTGCAACTCCCTGTTCCCATTTACCAAACAAATTGACTGAAAAAAAGCCTCATTTTTTCATTAATTGAATAATTTTTCATTTTGCTTCAAAAAATTGATTTATTTGAAAATATATATTTGTTTCCTATATTTGATACTCTAGAAATAAATAGTAAAACAAAACATATAAACACCATTAAATTTTGAGTTTAGTAAGATTTGGACTTGGGCCCAAATAAAATCAATTTAGGGGTTCATGGACAAACCAACACAAAACTTAAGGGGTTTATTACAATATTTGTAAATTGTTTCATTTGGGCTGGATGTTATGCAACATCTATTTCTTGCAGCCCAATTAGGTAGGCTTCTTAACTAGGTAAAACTAAAAACGTTATCTTTATATATAAAAGAAACAAAAAAAAAAAAAAAATGTCCCATATTCAAAATAATTGAAAAATTGAAGTTATAATGCAATAATGAAGTCAATGGCATCTTTTATAAATAAACAAAAAGGGTCTCCGACCATACAAAGGTGACGGAAGCAATGATAACAACAATAATGCATTATTTGTTTCAATCATTATTTATTTATGGGTAAATTATAACCACCCCTGAGGTGTGATTAATTTACGAAAAAACCTCTCAATTATGTTTTTTTCTTACACCTCCACCCTTATGATGTCAAATTCAACATAATCATCTAGATTTCGTAGAATGTGCTCTAGTTTGTACATATTCGTTTTGTGTAAAAATACAGTTTCTGATGCACCACAATCTAATATATACAAGCCAAAAATAAATAATGATTGAAATGTAGAGTTCTAATGGGATAAAACGAGTACAAAAGTGATAATATTCCATATAGTCTCGAAGATTCCACTAAATATGAAACCGCAAGGATGGACATTTAAGAAAATTTATAGTTGAGGGCGTGGTTGTAATTACCTAAATAAGAGGGAATTTTCATAATTTGACAATACCTCAGGGTGGTTATAATTTACCCTTTATTAATTATTTATTGTCCATAATTTAATTTTCTTTCACGAGCTACTATAGTTTGTTTTGTCTCTAATTCATTTACGTAGAGAATTTGAATTTGTTGATGTTTGTATAATAATTTTTATTATTATTATTATTATTATTATTATTATTATTATTATTATTATTATTATTATTATTATTATTATTATTATTATTATTATTATTATTATTATTATTTTTCGGTAACGATGTAACTCATAGCCTACTGTATAGGTCCACCGAACCATATAAACGTACTAAATAAACATACACTCTCGATAATAGTTTGTAAACTATGCGAAAAATGTAAATCATACTAGATCCTAATCATGTGCGACAAACTCGATCTACCAACCATTGACATGAAAATTCGAACTTTAGTCAATTGAAATAAAATCATTTAATCCAATTGTTAGGTCGTTTCTTACAAGACTTGTCTGTGTAATTTGATTTGAAGTAAGAGTTGACTAACCTTTTAATTTGTCCCATTGTAAGAATAAATGTTGCACATATTCTACTTCACCCTAATTTTAGCACACACCCACATAAACATAATTGAACATCTCCATGTGATTAATAGCTGTAATTAATTATAACTTATAAGCTCCAAATTTATTAAATCAATATATTCTCTCTTCTTTTTTTTTTTTTTTTTTTTCTTCATCGATAAAAAAAATTCGTGGTGGACACAACGAATCTCCACCTATACATGCACATTTTTCAATCACATAATTTCATCATTTATTACTCATTGACTTATTATAATACAATACAATACATTATATCATTTATTACAGTACAAGAAAATTAATTATTACAATTTCTCAAAATATGATTAAAAAAAAAAAAAAAAAAACCTGAATTAATCAGAACATATGCTTGTGATCAAGAGCATAGCGGGAGGGATAAGTATTGAACGAGAGACCCATTACAGGAACAGCGAAAGAACTTTCTAGAAGCATCCTCTGTTGAAATGACTGAATTGCCCCGCTCCCTTCGATCATCTCCTTCACCAAAGAATCATAGTATTTCTTCAGTTTCTTCAGCATGCAACCATACTTCAACCTCAGCCACTTCAGCTTCGCCCTTCTGCACAGCCTCACGATCGAGAATCCACGCCGCCCGGGTTTATTACCGCCGCCGAGGCGGACGGTGGGCAGTCGCTGCCTTCCGCGGCGGAGCGCCGCCCACCGGAAGGAGGTGGAGGATTGGCGGTGGTGGTGAGGTGTGCTGGGTTTTTTTAGTTTGTTGTTCAAAGGTTCTGTCTCTGAAGACATTTTTTTCTTGGAAGAGAGAGAAAGTGTAGAGAGAGAGAGGAAGGTGATCACTATATATTGATATAATGATATAGTGTACATATTCCCATGAATATATATATATTTTTTAAATATATAGGATACAAACTTTAGTTGTCCTATTATTTTTATTTTTATTATTAAATTTCATAATTATTTTTTTATTAATAATGAAGTAAGATAAGTGTGAATTTAATGTAGAGTTGAAAATTTGAGTAAAATAGGGATTAGAGGTAGATAGGGAGGCTGGCTGCTTCCTCAAATTGTAATTTCAATTTAATTTATAATCTCTAATAATAATAATAATAATAATTAAATAATTTGTTGAGTTAGCTACTCTAATTAATTTAATTTAATTACTTTAATAAAATTTTGTAAGTTTGGTGACACTATAAGTAGTCATACTATGGTGGTGTTTGCAAATGGTTATTTAAAAGCAGAAGTTAGTGATTGTGATTTAAGTTAGTTTTAAGTGCTTATTTCTAAAAGTTGGGGGTGTTTGCAATTATTCCTGAAAATGAACTTAAATAGAAAAAGCAGGGTTAGGGGTGCTTTTAAAAAAATAGTTTAAAGCAGATTATTTTAAGAGAAGCAAAAGCAAAAGTTGATTTTGCAAACACGTAAAAACAGACTATGAGCAAAAAAAACCGCATAATCACTTTCAAAAAACATTTGCAAACACCACCTACGTGTATCTTTTTAATTACGTTGGTCATGGATAAAATTATTTAATTGTACGTCTACTTAAATGGGATTATATATATAGTTTAAGAAATATATTTTTTTTTTTTTTTGGGAAAAAGCTAAGAAGGGAAATTGGTGGAGAGTTAGTGCGTCATACAAAATACATGTTCACATAATAAGGTTTGAAAAAGATGAAAGAAATGGGAGATTATTGCATCACACTAATAACATGTTTGCCCAAGTTTTATTGGAAATTTTATTTTCATAATAAATAAAATTAAATAAAAGAAAACCGACCATTTTGCGCTAATATAATTTTTTCTTTAACTAATTATATCATGATCAAAATGCTTCAATGATTTCAGCCGGTATATGAGATATTGCACGCGGTGAGATGCATTGGGTGATTTTAAACCTTAGATCGATAAAATAATCAGTATTCATCACTACGCACACAGACACATGATTGTGTGTTATTTTATGTAATTGTGTAGATCTATTGTTTAAAATTCGGGATAATTGTATCTATAATACATAGATCAGTCGAATACTAACAAAAATTGATTATTTTATTTAGTATTGGCCGACAATTAAAAAAACACTAAATATATTTACATTCATGAAAAAAATGAAACTACAACCAAGAAAAATCCAAGTTAATCTATATAAATTTAATTAGATGATTATATATAATTGTGTATGAAATTTTTGTCTTTAACAAAGAAAGGCACCTCAGCAAACATGATAACATAAATAATTTGCCTGACGTTTGATCTTTAATATAACCAATATACGGGCCATTCTGACCGAGATGAGTAAATACGAGTTAAGAAGAATCGACCTACCATTATAAGAAAGAATACCGAGCTGTGGTACCCGAGTAACAACTTAAGACTTTCGGTATCACGCAGCTCGGGAACGAGTATAAAAACGACCGAAGTCTGATATCGGGAAGATATACGAACCCTAAGCAGGCCCAAATAATAAAGGCCCAACAAATGTAACTTGGGGGAGAAAAATCCTAAAAAAGGAAACCTTGTAGGCCAAGGTTTCACCATCTATAAATAGATGAAACATTATCTATTCACATGCATACACACTCACGTACTTACAGCTTTTTATATAACACCTTAAATCACATATCACTGACTTGATCGTCGGAGCTTTCCCGCCGGGATCCCCTCCCGGCGTTGCAGGCACCACCATCGGAGAACTCTCACGTGTCCTGGAAGGAAGGCATCTTCATCAGAGATCTTTCACGTGTCTTGGAAGGAAAGCAAGCCCCACGGACCAAATCAGAGTGTGAAAACAAATTTAAGAGGGTATTTTTGTAAATGTAAAACTGGGGGTCATGTGCAGTATTGAAAGTACAAGGGGGGGCATATGCTATATTGAAAGCATGGTTCGCCGGCACAGAACAGTCTGCTGTCGCGGCCACTGCCGTTCCAGTTCCATTGCAACGTCGCGGTTCCGTCGCGGCTCCGTCGCGGCCGGAACGGACAAATTTTAATTAAAATTCTAAAAATATAATTTATTTCAAATATATTTTTAATACCAATATTAGAATACAATAATATGCTAAAATTATTAAAAATGTTATATTTTATTTTTTAATTTTTTTTTCAATTCTTTTATTCAACTCTTTTCTTTTTAATAAAAAAACTTATATACACACACAAATTAGATTTAAATAAATTAAAAACAAAAATAAAAACACATATTTATGTTTATTTGTAGTAAAATATATATTATGTGATGAATTAATTCCAAATTAAAATGATTATATTTAAGTAAGAGAATATTGAAAGCAAAAAAAGTTAAATAAAATTTTAATATTATATATGTATTCGAATTTTCTATATTTATTTATTATTTCTATTTTGATATTTATTTTTCATTTTTTAAGAATCAAAGTCTTCAATTTTATTTATTATTTTCTTTAAAAAATATATTTATTATTGCTATTTCCTTTTCGGTTAAATACACAACTTATAGTCATGTTTTAGTTATGGTTACTTTCTCCTATTAATAGGGAATTAGAGGAATTAGTGGGATATCATTATCCCAAAAAAATAGCTCTTTACTCCAAAAAAAATTACTTTTCGGTTTTATACATCTCATTTTCCGTCAAGGGCTCGTTCCCAATTTTCTTTTTTTTTTTTTTAATTTTTTTTCCGTCAAGGTCAGACCGTTCCGGAACCGTTCCGGCCGTTCCTGGGCCGTTCCGGTGCCGTTTCCCGGCTAAATCTCGGCCGTAACGGTGGTCCGCCGCGTCAAAGGGGAGAGAACGGTTTTGTTAGGGATTCCGGAACGGCGGGCACCGTTCCCGTTCCGGAACGGCCGTTCCGGCGAACCCTGATTGAAAGTACAAGGGGGGCATATGCACAAACTTCAAACTATAGGGGGTGTAAATGCTATTTACCCTAAAAATAAATAGATAACTAATATGATGTCAATTCATATGACTAGGCATGCTTTGGATAATAATTTTGAAGAAATTATATTAAATGCTAATTTATTTGGGTTAATTAATTTATGATGGTCTATAATTTAATTGGGCTTTCCATAAATTGGGTGTTGGGCCTAAGCTATAACAGTGGGCTAAGCTGAGCTTCTCTTATATATTTGTCAAAAATAAAAAATAAAAATTAACGTCGTCGCCTGAGAGATTCGAACTCTCGCGGGGAAACCCCATGTACTTAGCAGGCACACGCCTTAACCACTCGGCCAAAGCGACTGATGAAATCTTGTCGAGAGTTAATTTATATATTCACAACTTAATTTCCTACCTTCTGTAAATGCTCTGCTGTTGAACAAGTCTCATCAATTAGGCAAATTGTTTACAAAATCACAACAAAAGGAGGATACCACAAATTGGTATTAAAAGAATATGTTCATGAGAAAACAACAAGAAACACACATAAAAAATAGATCATTGAAAGCTGAAGAAGAGAAGATCAACACAAAGTTACTGAAAATCACAAGTCTTTAAAAAAAAAGCATTGCAATAAAAAAGGTACATTGCTTACATTTAAATCTCCTTCCACTGTCTCAATATACCTCCAACAAGAGACAAAGCATTACAACATTAATTTAGTAGAGAAGAAAACTAAATAAATAATGTACAAACCATCACATAACTTATACATCAGTTTCCTAATGTACATAAATCCTTATTCCACATACAAGAGAATAGATTAACAATGAAACCCCCCTCCCCCCTCTCCAATTTCTTTGCACCATCCCCCCCACCCCCTTTCGATCAACACGGCTCGATTATTGTATCGTTAGAAATCATCAACCATCAACTTCACATTGCCACCGCCGAGCTCGTGCGCCACACCGCCGCGATCGGGCTCCTCACAAGGTGGCTGCCGCCATCGCTCCACTCGATCGACCCGAACGAAGACTTGGCACTGCCCACAATCTCCAATCCCGAAGAAGCACTCGAGCTGCTCTTGAAAGTAACTTCGTACGACAACTTATCCTCCGTCTCACTAAACACCAGCTTGCTAGGTGAAACACTCACTTCCACACCCGGCGGAGCTCCAACTCTAACCTCGTAAACCGCATCCACTTCACTCCCCACATTTGTCACTGTCCTATTATACTTCACAACACTCTCCTCACCATAAAACACAACCGAAAACGAAGGGTAGTTCAAATTCCCGGGGGTTTTGAACCCTAGTTTATCGCAGTCAACCGAAGAAGCATCCTTCGTGAAAACCGAAATCCTCCTCGAATCATACCCAATAGTGCACAAGAACGCTATGTAGTCGGTGGTATCCAAGTCGTAGACCAAACCCGGATCGACGGCCCGGTTTGGATCCACGTGACCCGCCCCGTGGACAAATGGGGTCGACTCCGCCCCGGTGGCGAGGTCCGTAATATTGGCTCCGGTGTTGTCCAAATTGTACGCTGACGTCATCAAGGCCGACTTGATAGCTGCGGGCGACCATTTCGGGTGAGCCTTTCTGAGAAGAGCAGCCAAACCGCTTACGTGTGGGCAAGACATTGAAGTGCCTGAAATGATGTTGAATGCGACTCTTCGTGAATCGGATTCCAAATCGGTGGGGCCCACGTAGCCGGTCCAGCCAGCTAGGATGTTGACTCCGGGGGCAATTACGTCCGGTTTGAGAATCTCGGCGGTTCGGTAGTTTGGCCCACGGCTAGAGAAGGAGGCCACTCGAGGGGCTGGTGGAGAAGTGCTGATGACTGTTCCTTTGAATGTGATTGTGGCGGTTGGATTTGGATCGGATTTTACGTAGGCTCGGATTTTGTTTCCGGCGATTTCTCCGACCATTGTGGCGGGGATGAAGTGGGCGTCGGCGAGGAGTTCTTCGGCCGAGTCGGCTAGATTTGCGAGAATCATTCCGGCGCCGCCTGCTTGGTGGACGGCGTTGCCTTTCTCCGCCCTGGCATTGCCGCCGCGGTCGCAGATCACGATTTTCCCGGCGACTTTCGAGGAGTCGAGGCTGCCGGAGTAGCAGTATCTGTTGCCGCAATCGGCGGCGTAGACCAGTGGAAGGAGTTTGTCTCCGAGGGGTTCGCCGGCGTACAGTGAGACGCCGGTGTATGTGGTGTTGTCGCCGAGAGTCACAACCGCCGGAAAGTCACGGTCGAGAGTTGAAGCGCCGACTGTTAAAATCCATGGAGCGATGTTCACGGCGGTGTATGGATCTGGTCCTGAATTTCCGGCGGAGCAGGAAACCACGATTCCATGCTCGGCGGCGGCGAAAGCTCCGATTGCGATGGAATCGTAGTCGTACTGAGGTGCGTGGCCGTTAGCACCGACTGAAAGTGAAATCACGTCAACGCCATCTATAACAGCCTGCTCGAACGCTGCTAATATGTCAGAATCGTAACATCCAAAAGTCCAGCAGATTTTGTAGACGGCGATCCTGGCTTTGATCGCCATGCCTCGAGCTTCTCCCTCCGCGTACCCTAACAAACTGGCGTTCGCCACTATAGATCCGGCGGCGGTGGAGGCGGTGTGTGTGCCGTGGCCCTCCGTATCTCTGGGAGACTTCGATTCGTTCGATTCCTCCATTGTTGTACCTCGCGAAGCTTCGTACCCTAGATAAAAAGCTTTTGTGCCGATGAGTTTTTTATTGCACAACGTCGCAGGGAAATCAGCGGCGTCAACGCAACTCCCCTTCCAATGCGAAGGAACGGCGGAGAGTCCTTCATCGGAGAAGCTAGATCTCTCCGGCCAGATACCAGTATCGAGAACACCGACGATGACGTCATCGGCGTAGTCGGAGTTGGGCCACAGGCCGAACGAATCGGCGAGTCCCAAAAACTTCGGAGTGTGAGTAGTGTGCAGGTACCGTACTGCGTCGGGGATAACGGAGACGACGGCGGGAACACGGCGGAGAGCATCGGCCTGGGCGGCGGATAATCGGGCGGAGAATCCGCGGACGGCGCGATCGTAAGTGTAGAGGATCTCGGCGGGGCGGTGGTGGGGAGGGAGGGATTTGATGATGCTGGAGTACCAGTGGTGGTGGGTGGAGAAGGTGAGAGGCTTCTCAGATTTGATGACGTGGACGATGAAGGTCTCCTGGCCGGCGTCGGACGAGAAGGCGGAAGTGAGGAGAGAGAGAAAGAGGAGAGAGGAGAGAGAGTAGAGAGAGAAAAAGGCCATGTTTGGATGAGGCTTCATTCCGGTGAAATTGGAGTGAGAGTGGTGCAGAGTGGAGGAGATGAAATAGAATATTCTTTTGAGGCTTACCTGATTGGTGGGCTGCTATTGGGCCACGTTTCGGGGTTTCTATTCGTTGATGGACTTTTTTTTGGAGATATATTATTATATTCTTTTTTTATTTATTTTTTAATACTCCCACCAATAATATTTATTGTATTTTTTTTTAAGTATTAATAAAATTCTAGAAATAATTGGAGATATTATTTATTTTAATTTTTAATTATTGAGGAATGGTGGCGATATTATGTGAGTGGCTATTTGTTCTGATTGATCGTAACGTGTAGTTTGAAATGTGTATAAACATTAAACTATTATATTTGCATAGTCGTGCTGTTTTACGCAATTAAGTTACCGGCCGTATTAATTTTGGCAGATCGAAATCATAATCATATTATTAAGATAACTACAATTTGTGTTATCTTGATAATTAAGTATTTGATGAATAATAGTAATTAATTAAGTTGTTGTATTAAAAGATTTATAATTTGAATAGCAGCCCATGCCAAACTTTTATGGAGGTAAAGGAAAGGGGTGGTTGGTAGATTGATGAGGTGGTAGTTGCAACTTTTGTTACCTATTTGTCTTAGCTAATATAAATTAATTAACTTTTATAAATTAATTCAGTTGCAACTAGTAAAATTCTATTAATTTAGGTAAATATTAAATTATTAAAATTCAACACATTTTCATAAAGTCTGGATCGGGATCTAAAAAAACTACTCCCTCTGTTCCACAATAACTGTCTCTTTTTAAAAATATTTTTGTTTCATATTATCTGTCACTTTAGATTTCCAATACTGCATTAAATGCATTTTTTTTAACCTTATTAATGAAACTCTAATCATTAATTTTCTCTTATAAATCATTAAAAAATAAAAGTTATTTTAGTCATTTTTATATGATTTTTCTAAAATCAAGATATAATTATTGAGTTTCTTAATATTTGTAAAAAGTGAAAAGAGACAATTATATTATTTAGGAAGATAGGGAGTATTATTTAGAGGGAGTATTATTTAAGCAATGAGATTCAACTATAGTATATAAATCCCCACAAATTAGAAGTACAAATCATGTGGATGTACTACAACCATTCATAAATTAAAGTACTACTTTTTCTATTTCCAAAAAAATAGTCCATTTGTTTAACTAGGGATGACCTAGCAGTTGCAGCAAGTAAACTTGTGTCAATTGATCCAAGTTCGAATCCTCTTACCAACAGTTATTAGGTCGAACTTAAACTAAAAGGTTAGAACATGTTTGTAAATTTCACAAATTTTAACAAATGTAAATATCTACTACATATGTGTTGTGTAATAATGAACCTAGACAAAATACAAAGTGATGATATTTTGTCTAGGTACATTTATCAACATACCCACGCATAACATGCCGTCTTCAATTTTTATTTTAATTCAATAATTGAAAGATCACGTAATACATGGAGCAAATTAATATCGAACACGTGTTCACATCACGTCCGTTCGACTTGATTTCAAACACACTTCACCTTCGAATATGACAACTTCATAAATCAATAATCACAATACAGCAAATAAAATAGCCAACCTGATTAACTAATCTATAATCTATATGCAACTCTTTTTGCAAGAACTGAACTCAATAGATGCACAATTCATGGTCGTGGAAGTACCCCAAAAAAAAAAACCGTGCAAAAATCAAAGTAATTCGTAATCACACGAGCACACTACCGCACAGTATTAAAACAAGACAGAACTTAAATAGGCTTCCGAAACTGCGTTTAGTTAGCTAGGCGATACTCCCGTTTTACGTATAGTTTCATTTACATGTCATAACCACAATAAAACATAGAACGAACATTGGATTATATGAGCTAATACATAGTACATACCATTCGCACCGAAACGACTGCCGTAAATTGCCATCAACTAAGTCCAGTCAGACCCATAGCAGATCCCACGCGAGAAGAAAGAAACACCAAATATATAGCAATAAGTCCAGCTCCGAGCATCTTATTAGGACGCATGTCGTTTCTTGGTAAAATAACGAGAGCCCAAATAAGTCCGGACAAGAGAAACCCCAGAGTATAGTACAAGCTCGTGTCACGTGGAACTGTAAACGTACCGGGTTTCTCTGACCAAGCACCCAAAAGCATCGAGACGCCCAATCCAATAAGCGTATTGAACATGGGTCCCGCGTAGCATCCAGACATGGCAATCTGCACTCCATCTCCACCGTTCATCGAGAGCGCAACGTTCGAGACCAGATCACCCATCGAGTTTCCCCAAGCCAGTACAGTCAGTCCTAGTATCGAAGGATTGACACCTAGTATCACACCTATCCCGACTAGCAGAGCCACGAGCTCGTTCGCTATCATGTAAAACCAAACGATGCTCATGAAAAAGCCTCCTAATACCCACGGGAGTAAGAATTTGTGAGGCGGGTTTTCTGGCCTCGTGTGCTTATACGCCAAAACGCAAAGAGTGCAGCCAATTAAAACCCCCACGACATATGCAGTTATTCTACTTTTGGAAGTCGTGCTTTCTTGAGCACTCCATAGGCATGCGAGAAGAATCGGTGCGAACAAAGCACAACCCACCGCGTATACCTTCGACCAGTTTTCCTCCTCCACTAGAGGAATAGTTAATCGTCTTGGAACTGTTAAAGGCAACTCCATGAGTGCACATAGTCTTGAACAGGATAAAGATGGTTCCTCTGTAACTATGTCTTCGTCGGTCCATCCCCATAAACTCTTGTCACCATCGGGTATCTTTAGCACTTGGTTCGAATATATAGCCACATTCGATGCCCACATCCACTGAGGCAAGGAGGCATGAGACTGTACCCCATCACTATCTGTTTCGAGTTCGAGCAATGAGCTGTACATGGATTCATCCTCGTGGCTCGCTGAAAACACACTTCCTCGAACCGGAAGCAAAGGGGTGACCACATCCAGTTTCAGCTTATGCGCTTGCTCCCTCAAAACCTCGTTCGCAGCCACAACAAAGGCGTAAACGAAATATATCGATACAAAGGCAACGGCTGCTCCAACGCTCACTTTCCCCACGAACAAGATCAACAAAAGGGCCGTAAGTGTGACGATGAAAAACGTAATATCCCGTATAAAGCACTTTTTATCGATCCGAACATCTTGATCAGCTACGCAGAGGGAAACAACTCCAACAACAATGCAGGTAACAAAAACTGCTCCTCCAAGGACACTATTAAGTCCAACCTCTCCAGTTCCAGTTCCTACAAAAGATGCAATACTAGCAAACACATCAGGCGCACCATTTCCGAGTGGAAGCAGAGCTACCCCTGCAACTGTGGGAGATAGCTTCAAGAGCTTCGAAAGTTTCTCTAACGAACAACAGAAATAATCGGCTGCGGTGTTTCCCAAAAGGTAGAACAATGCAGCGAGCCAAACAGCCAACACCAAAAAAGTCCAAGCACTCTCATTGCAACCACAGTAGTAGAACTTTAGGTAATCTAAAAACCCACCCAATTTGCAGCTAGGGTTTGCTTTCAAGAACTCACAGCTACTATTGTACCCCGTGTGATCAAGCAACCCCGAACAAAATTCGGGATCTTTAGCATCCACGAAATTACGATCGGTGCCATTTCCGTTAACGGGAGAATCTGCAGTTAATTCAATCATTCCCCTCCGAACCGCGGAGAATCCCCCTTTTGAGCTCAAATTAGGGCTTAATACGGAAGATGATTGCCCTAAACTTGGACTCATCACAAATTCCCCATGATTGAAGAACAATACAATCAAAACTAGGCAACACAACCCATGAAAAAGTCCTCTGAATCGAGGACTTCTTTTACCGCAAAAAAAATTCAACTGCCTCATTTCCCCCCTCAAATTACATGTAATTTCATCTCTATTTGTACAATTCACGTAAAATTGACTTTACACCAATAATACAAGCTTACGAATTCAATTCACGAGCAGCTAAACAAACCCCAGTCCAGAAAAAAATCAACCGACGAGAGAAGAATTATGTAAAATTTAACTAACCTCCAAATTTCGAAGATGTGTTGGGCGATTCAAGGGGTAAAAAGGAGTTGAAAACTAGGGTTCAAATAAGGTAATTCGATCAAAGGTTAAACGCTTATGGATTGGGAATTTGGTTGTAATAAATGCTTTGATTTTTCCCTTTCCGATAAGCTTTCCGTCACCGGGATATGAAGTATGAACAGATGATTCCGTTAATTGATGCCTTGTTTTTTTTAGTTAATCTTTTTTATGAATTTTGCCCGATTAAAGCTAAATTAAGTAGTTAAAATATATATAAATTTTATTTAATGAGGTCTTTGTAATATTTTTAGAATATGAGGGATCTCTACTTAATTAGATCAATATCAGGGGAAGAAAATGTAATCCGCTCAATATTTGGTTAAGGGTGAAAGTGTAATTGAAGAAACATTGTTGTTCAAATGGCTAAAATTTTGAAATTAGAGGGGGGCTAGCTTTATTCATTTCAAAATTAGAGGGGTGTAGCTTTAATTATTTCTAACCACAAAGAGGTATATGTAATTTACTTAATTTTTAGTTTGCCACCTTTGCCATTTTACCTTGTGTGTATCTGGTCTATATGAAAATACACCCGATGCAATACAACGTGTGATTTAAAAATGTAGATATATACAAATAACTATGCGCTAAATACAGATACACATATGGGCGTGTGTTATTATGTGTATACCTATAGTTTAAAATCACTTAGTATATTTCATCGAGTGTATCATTTACGAAACCGTGTAGATCCGTTATATAAAAAAAAAAGACTTTTAAAATATTTATAAATTGCACATTTAGTTCGCTGCAGTTTAAACTATTTATATTTCAATTAATTGTTATGTATTTTTTTTAAATTGTCATGCATAAATTCATTTCATTTAGTTAAGTGTCATGCACATTTTTTTAATACTAGGTTTAATAAAGATCATTTTTTTAAGAAAAAACTTCAACGTAATTCTCAAAATAATTTGCGTATTTAAATTAAATGAATATTATAAATTATTAGAAAATAGAATAACTCAAAAACTAATATTAGCAAGGACAAAAGTGGTTAAGATAAAACTACATACGTATATTCATTAATTAAGGATAATTGTGGGCAAAACTATATGTTAAATTTTTTAATCCATATTTGAAATATTCATTATATACTATTATCCTCTAAAATATGGACTTAATTTGTAAAAATACTAAATTTCAGGGATCAAATAATAATTATCTTCACACTGTACAGTATTAGTATTTACAATATGGGGCCTAAGTTATACAATATATACCGGGTAAGCCTCAGCTACTTTCCCTTTTTACCATACAACACACATTTCTACCCCCAACAAGAAGAATTCTCAGCCAACACGTCTCTTCTTCCTCCATCGTCACCATTTATACAATCTCACTGTAAGTTCTGATCAATTCCCAAATTTAAACAATGTCTGAATTGAGTACTACTTCTCCTGCATACGGTACAACTAGTTCTATCGGCTGCGAATCTGCATTTAACTCGCGTTTGTTTTTTTTGGTTTTATTAGTTCGATCACAGTGTGAAATTAGAAATTTTTAGATTTAGTTTTGAAGTTTTTTTTTTAATTCTGATTTTTTGCAGTAATGAGTTTCGGAAAGAAAGAGCACGATTTCCTGAAGGAGATCGGGCTCGGGCCGCGGAACTTGGGTTGTTACGTTAATGGCGTTTGGCAAGGGAATGGGCCCGTTGTTTCTACTATGAATCCTGTTGATAATCAGGTTTCCTCTTCAGCTGAAATTTCAATTTTAATTTTGTAATTTAATTTTCCTGAATTGTTTTTTTGTACGGTCACCCTGCATGGAGGAATTACCTCAGTAGAATTACGATTTGGGATTAATGCATTAATGTATGGATCCAAACTGATCTTAATTGGTTTATCCTCGATCTAAAAAATATGATAATTTCAAGTAGAATTCCTAATCATTTTTACGTTTTCGGAAATTCGGGACAGAATTTTGCATATATTTTTCAGTATGTTTGTTGATAAATCATTTAATTATTTATGGGTTTAGCCAATTGCTGAAGTTGCTGAAGCATCTATTCAAGACTATGAGGAAGGCATGCAAGCATGTGCCCATGCTGCAAAAATATGGATGCAGGTTTCGTTTTATTATTTCACAAATTAATCACCATTGTACATAAGTTTCGTTTTCGTATTACTTTTTTTTTTTCTTTTCTGATGAGAGTTGCTAAGCTTGTTTCAGATTCCGACACCAAAGAGAGGTGAAATCGTGAGGCAGATTGGTGATTCGTTGAGAACCAAGATTCATCACCTTGGTCGGCTTGTTTCTCTTGAAATGGGAAAAATACTAGCAGAAGGAATTGGGGAAGTTCAGGTATTTTATTTTATCATAATAAAATATCGGAATCGAAACAAATTGGTCGATGCCTGAGAATTTCTAAAAATCAAATTGTCGCTCATGCGGCAGTTCCGATTACGAATACGTTCTTCTCTTTATGACGTGTAGTCCGCCCATAGTGTTGCATTGAATAAGACATCAACTCATACAAGTGATAGTTTATATGCAAAAATATTATATTTGTCTAGCATTTATTTTAATTCTTTGATTTTTTATATTTCGTCTTTTATATTATTGTTTCTGTCAATAACCCATAACGATTCTTGAAAAACGCAACTAATTAAGTCGATATTTGTTTAGCTCGTCTCTAATGTCAGGGGCAATGCTATTATTTCAGGAAATAGTTGATATGTGTGATTTTGCGGTGGGATTAAGTCGTCAGCTGAATGGATCCGTTATCCCTTCTGAACGTAAGCTTAATTACTTGCAACCATCATTCACAGTATTAATCACATAACTCAAGGCTTAAAAACTAGCAATTATTTATTTATTTTTTAATTATGGTTACTCTTTTAACAGGACCGAATCATATGATGTTGGAGGTACGTTATATACGGTCATAATTTAATGTTATTTTAGTACATTGCCGTTTTACAATCTTGTTATTTTCTGTCACCCCACAGATGTGGAATCCTTTAGGGATAGTTGGTGTTATTACAGCTTTCAACTTCCCTTGCGCAGTTCTTGGTGAGTATATATATATATATATATATATATATATATATATATATATATATATATATATATATATATATATATATATATATTAGTTTCTTGTATATGTCACAATTCTAATATATCTTTATGGTGTGTGATTTTAGGATGGAACTAGTTTGTGGAAACTGTGTCGTCTGGTGAGACCTTTGAGTTTGGTCATTACTTCTTGTGGTTTATTTCATTTTCTATTTTCTAACAGACACCTAATTTAAGGAAGAACAAAAAAGGGTTAAAAAAAATTCCTGTTTTACTCATGCCCGTAGTTGGACACGTTCGCTCTGTTTTGAACCTCGATGTCGCGATTGCACATTTTTTTTCAGGAAGGGTGCTCCAACGACACCTCTGATTACCATAGCTATGACAAAAATAATTGCTGGAGTATTGGAGAAAAACAATTTACCGGGGGCAATTTTCACGGCATTCTGTGGTGGTGCTGAAATCGGTCAAGCTATAGCAAAAGATCCACGCATTCCTCTAGTTTCGTTCACCGGGAGTTCACAGGTATTAACGTGTGGGGCCCGTTTTATGTACACCGGCTGTAAGGAATATAATTAAGACCATTTCATTTCTCTTTGTATACGTATTTTATTTTTAAATATTTTGTTTGGGTGTGTTTGGTTCAGGTGGGTCTAATGGTCCAGCAAACAGTGAATCAAAGATACGGCAAATGCCTTCTTGAATTAAGTGGAAACAATGCTATAATAGTGATGGACGATGCCGATATCGAACTTGCTGTTCGCTCCGTTTTATTTGCCGCTGTCGGTACTGCTGGTCAACGGTGCACCACATGCCGTAGACTGGTATATAACATTCTTTTTTTTTTTTTTTTTTTTTTTAAAGAAACTCAAACCTTAAAATTTATCAATCTTTTTTTACCTGAAATGCAGCTTCTTCACGAGAGTGTTTATCAGAAAGTACTTGACCGGTTAGCCGAAGTATACGGACAAGTCAAAGTAGGAAATCCTTTGGAGAAGGGTACCTTAATCGGGCCTCTGCACACTCGTGCTTCGCGCGAGAATTTCGCAAAGGGAATTGAAATAATCAAGTCTCAGGTATGTGGTATCTCTTGCCGAATTATTAATTATTTATGCTCATTTTTTTTTTAAATTACTCTGGTTAATAATTAATTACCGTAAAAATGTCTCGCAGGGAGGAAAGATTGTTGCAGGCGGGAGTGTTATAGAGTCGGAAGGAAATTACGTCCAGCCCACCATAGTTGAAATTTCAACGAGCGCCGAAGTTGTTAAGCAAGAGTTATTTGGTCCAGTTCTTTACGTCATGAAGTTTAAGGTTAACACTACGATTTTCAGTTCCTACGTATCTGAAACAAAATTCCAGTTCTCGATTTGTAAAATGATTTTATTGTTTGTTTTTTCGACAGACGTTGAACGAAGCGATTGAAATAAACAACTCTGTACCTCAAGGACTTAGTAGCTCCATTTTCACCCGTCGGCCTGAAATCATTTTCAAATGGATCGGGTGAGTAGAAAAAAATCTATGTAAACATTGTTTTTTAATATATAGTTTCGATTAAGTGCTGACGTGGATAAATTTGACACAGTTCTCAAGGAAGTGATTGTGGTATCGTAAACGTAAATATTCCGACCAACGGAGCTGAAATTGGCGGTGCTTTTGGCGGTGAGAAAGCTACCGGAGGCGGCCGTGAAGCTGGGAGCGATTCTTGGAAGCAATATATGAGGCGATCGACTTGGTAAAATTCGATTTTTTTTTTATTATATTATTCTTTTTTATTTATTTATTTTTTAATCTTTTCTACGCAGCACTATCAATTATGGGAGTGAGCTTCCTCTTGCTCAAGGAATTAACTTTGGGTAATAAAATAAGATAAAATACGACGAGCAATAAACCTCGGCGAGTGAAGTAACCGGAGATTTTTCGCTGGTATGTTTTGCTAGTTCCAACTTTGCTCTCGGCATGTAATAATAATTTTGAATTCTAAACCACCATTTAAGTTTGTTTCTTTTCTTGAATAATTATTTGATTTTAATTTAATTGGAGTTCGTTCAAAATGATTGGGATAAATAAAACTGTGATTGGGACTCCGGAGATGGCGGAATAAATATATGAGATCGAAATAATAATTAACACAACTGTCACTATTCTAAAATTTAAATATATATATTTTTTTAAATAAAAAGTATTGAAGAAAATAAATAAATCAAAATATGCCTTTCCAATTCCAACCCACCTAACTTCAACCCAGTTATATTAAAAAAGTTGTCTACCAAATCTAATTAATAGTTAATACTAATCATACAAAAGATCCTCAATTATTGATATTGATTTGACTTTTTTTAATCAACCTTTTGGAATTTATTTGTAATTTTAAGAATTTTTAGTTGTTTAATAGTAAAAAAATTTGTTTAATTAATTAGGTTCTCTAATCACGGGTAGATAGTTGAGATGGGTAGTTGGCACATCATAATTGATAAACAAGTGCATGAAAAAAAAATTGATGATTGATGAAATGGGGGTGTAGGCCCCCCTCTTAAAATTATTATACATGACCATACTTGTTTGCTAGTCTTGGCCATTCTCCCATCCACTAACAAATAAATTGACTAATTGTGTCAAAGCTTCTGCCCTTAAGGCGGCGGTGGTGGTGGTGCCGCCAACGGCCGGTGGAGGTGGACTCTGGATCCGGTAGCACCATACATACAAATATTTGCAGCTTTATTGTGTATGAACCATGAACAATGATAGAGATAAATACTCGCTATATCTAACTCTAACTTCGCCATGCACACTCGTGAAAATATTTACGTTTTTGTTTTTGCGTATGAACGAATGATCAAAACAACGGGTTTATTGCAAAAACCCCTCTGTAGTTCAACTTTTTTTGCAAATTACCCCTAAAAACTCATGTTTTTTAGCAAACTACCCCCTAAAATTTATATAGCACTTCGATATAGCATAAGGGTACTAAATGCAATAAACTCGAAAGATCATAACATTATCTTGATTGAAGGCAAGAAACAAACATGATCAAACTTACATAATTATTTCATCTTTATTCCATAGTAACAAGATTATTCGGTTAGCTGATAATTTCACTTTCTCAATTTCTTTAAAATACTTTACAAATTGACCATATTGACCTCCACTTCTCATTCACAACCTCCATCAATTCCGTCATAGAGCGAGGCATCAACCAGGGTTAAACTCGACATACAGCTCTCCGACCGGGCCAAAACCGAACCCTTCACGTTGAGTTGACCCCGTTTCTTCGTCGGGCTACTCGGCATAGATTTCGGGCTTTCCAAACTCTTCCTCAAGACCCGCCTCATGGCCCGAATCAAATGCACTGTTGGATCCTGCGGTGGGCCCGAAGCCCGAACCTTGTTGCAGAAGCTGAGATGTCGGGCTATTGCCTCATCCGGGCTTATTAGCTTCTGGCAGCGTAATATTTCGTCTTTCACTGCCTCTGCGCAAAGCCCGCAGATCCATTTCCCACCATACCTGATTTTTTGGAATAAATTATACTTATTTATATAATTAAATCAAGAAAAAATAATAATAATAATTAATTTACCTTTCGCGAATTGTTTCAATATAGGAAAGGGTGCATTCCTCCGTCAGCCCACAGCAATCGCATTTAACGAAATCAACCTCGATTTGGCCTGGTAGTTTATTAACGGCGCCGTTAACGGGCCCGCCGTCGGGCCCGTTAGCCATCACCATTGAATCAGTAAATACAGCTGACATCCCTGAAACGGCGTTATCATGATCAAAATCAGGTCTTTCGAAAAGGGTTTTGTTCAGAATTAAATTATATATAAAAATAAAAAAATAAAAAAAATTACCAGATGAAGAAGGTGATCAAGATCGACGTAATATAAATAAATAAATAAATAATAAAAGAAAAAAAATGGGTTTTTTTTTTGGGTGAGTGCTATGTTTCATTATCCCACTCGAATTCTTCTTCCACCATGGCTTCCTCCGGAATGAAAAATGTATACACCAAAGACATTTCAGAATTTAAATAAATAAATATGAATAAAAATCTTTTCTTTTTTTTTTTTCTTTTTTTTTTTTGTTGATTGATATATATGCTGCTGCGAAAGAGAAGAGGATGGAATTTAATAAAAGAGAGAGATGAATTGAGATTTTGGGTGGTTTGTGCTAAAAAAAAAAAGATCTTGGGAGGGAAGAAAATGTGTGTGTAAAGAGATGGAAAGAAAAAAGAATTTATTTTCTGTGTTTTTATTGTGTGGAAAGAGGATTCAATGATTGGCGGTCTTACGCGGGGTGGTGGGGGGTGGGGTGGAGGTGAAGGGGGGTGGGGTGGGTGGTTTGTTCTAACTTCTATAATTTCTTTTTTTTCATAATTACATAAACTCGTTTTTTTTTTACATTAACACTTTTTTGTAGGGGTGTGTGCAAGAAATTTACAAACTGTCAGTGACGGGATGTAATTATATAAAAATGAGGGACTTTTTTATAAATATTATCGAAATATATACTATGTGATTACGTGTAAATCAAACTTGACAAACTAGTAGCATGTATTCGAGGAGGGGAGAATATATATATTTTTTTGTCTTTTAAGTTTGAATCGATTTCATATTTAATCCATCTTATTTATAAAAGATTAGATTTAGTCCCTCATGTTCAAAAAAAATAACAGATTTATTTAAAGATGAGGGACTAAAATCTAGTTTTAAAGACGTGTAAACTTGATGAGCGAAATGTATATTTTTCGTTTTAACGAGGTGTAACATCTAATAAATGCATACACGTCTTCATCGAACAACGGCAAGAAAATTCTGGGCGTATCTTGCTTGCACCGTGTTATCTGTGTGTTTAGAGAGCTGTCCAAATTTATTTTATTTTCATGTTGACAAATTGGAGGTTGCCACGTGTACCGATAAATGCCTCCACGAAAACTGTTGCATCATTAAGGAGTAATTAACATTAATTAATGATCATAAGTCATAATTAAGCATTTTTGGTTTTCTTGTCCCGACGCTTTGGGTTCACACGCTTCATCATAACTCAGCCACTGATTTTTGGTATTATTTTATTTATTAGTTAGGTTTTGTTGCTTTATTTTCTTTTTATTTATTTATTTAGGTCTTTCTGGAATTTTTAAATTTTGTGTGGAGCAATTATTCAAAGAATAAACTTAGGAGATTCTTTACAATTAATAAATGAATTAATTGCCAAAGGGATGAAGTAATACCAGGAAAAATAAGGCTGTCTTTGTCAATATTTTCTTATCATTATTAGATACTATTTGTTAATGGTTAATACTTAATAATAATATAATATTAATTGTTTCCAAAAGAATTTTATTAAAATTAAATGGAATTGGGAAATAATTTAACATTTTTCAATAAAATTTAAAAGTGATGATAATTGATAGCTACGCTAATTAAATAATTAGTAGGCTTTAATTTAACATATTAATGGAGGATAAATACTAATTAAATTCTAATAATAATTAATAAATAGGGGGATGGGATGAAGCAATAAGCTAATTAATATATATCGGCATGCATGATGATTTGGAAAGGGACACCTCCCAATAAGTCCACTAGCCTACTATTCCTTACAATTTCTCCTTTGAAAACCAAATTAGATGAGAAAACGTTTCATTTTATTATACATATAATATATTAATTAATTAATTATGGTGCAGTTACATCCATTATTATTATTCTACAATGTTTGATAGAAACAAGTTTCTTCACATGCCTGTCTTTGTTATGCACGTTTTTTCTATTCTTGATCTTAATTCTTAATTAAACTAATATGTACAAGCAAAACTAATTATGAGGCCTTAATAATAATAATAATAATAATAATAATAATAATAATAATAATAATAATAATAATAATAATAATAATAATAATAATAATAAGGAATGGGCCTCGATAATGAAGAGAAGTCCAACGTGAAAGAAAACCTGCCCTATGAGACCTGCAAAACGAGAGTGTCGGTGAATTAAGGTTTTCCCAGGGCTAGCACTTCATCAGACGGGTGAAGTGGAAAACGATTTATTTTTCACGGTTGTATTTAAATCTACCATGATGTACGTGCAGAGTGACGTGACTTGCAGCGAACTTTTTTTACTTACTGAATACAGGTTGTTCATTCCTCTTACTACGACCAGGTCACTTTGTGGTTGCTCTTAATTGCCTTAAGCAAGCTCGATGTTAGTTGGTGGATCTCCTTTGAGTGCATGCAGGGCCGGTTCTGAGGGGAGGCGAAGTAGGCGGTCGCCTAGGGCCCCCGATTTTTTTCGAAATTTTGGGGCCCCCAAATTATTTTATATACACTTTATATATTAGTAATTATTTTTAAAAATTTATTATATATATTATTTTGGAATTGAAGATCGGTTCTAAAATAAATTTAAACTAAATGATCAATAGATATTTTTAAAATTTTCTTAATTTTTGGGCCCCTAAATATTAATTTATAATGTCTTAATAACTTATTTTTATTCTAAAATAAGAATCAATATTTATTACTGTATTCAAGTTTATAAATATTTTTGAAGTCTATTGCTATAAAAATTATATGTTACGGGAGGAAGTGAACCAGCAAATCATATTGTTAATTTTAAATTTTTGTCCATATTTTTAATTACTTTATATTCATACATTTCAAAAAATATTTCGGGGGCACTGCCCCCGAACCCCCAAAATCTTTATTTTCTTCATTTTTAGAAAAAATATAAAATATTTTTTTTACTGCATTCAATTTCGAAAACCCATTAATAAAAAAAAAAATGGTTCATCAAATAGGGGCCCCTGTTTTCAGTTGTTCTTTAAACCTCGCCTAGGGCCCCCGAATTCCTAGGAACGGCCCTGAGTGCATGTCATGATATATATATATATATATATATATATAAAGTTGTTTTTGAATAAATAATAAGGGATTAGTGAAAAATAAGTCGTTTAGTTGAAAGCTCGTTGTCTCATAAATATGTGAACTATACATGTGCTATGTTACAAACCACAAAAAAAAGGGACATGTCAATTTTGTTTGTTAGTGACTACTCTAATTAATTTTAATATTGTAAGAGAAAAATATAGAAAAAATAAATCATATATACAGAGGATCTTTTACTTACTGTACACAATTCCAATAATATAAAAAAATATTTGTCCACATGTGCAACATGTTGGAGTAATTAATATGAAGACAATTAAATTACTGTTCATGACAATAATATAATTAACATGTATAGAAATAATTGACATGCAAATACAATATTAATTATGAGGTGGTGGATCAAATAATTTAAATTTGTGATCAAATAATATCAAGAAACTCTAATCTTTTTGATGTGTGAAATCTTTTTCCAATCCTCTCCGGTTCCCTTGCGGTACTTTTCCCGCAGTAGCGTACAGTTATCGATACGCAGTTTCTTCAACGGCACCTTTTGGAGTAGAACGTTCGGCAGTGCCTTCAAATTGCTGCAGTTCGAAACTTTCAAACATCTTAGACGAGGCATAATCTCGAAATCGCCATCACGGAATATTCCTCCATCTTCTCGACCAATCAAATCCCATTCTTCCAAATTCTCCATTTTCGAGATCTTCAATTTCTTCAGCTTCGGAAACACCGATTTCGCGTTGACGTTTAAAGGGTCTCTGTAGAAATCAAGCCCGATAAACTTTACAGTATTCATCCCCTCTAAATCGAGTGTCACGAGAGATGGCAATCTTCCCAAAGGTGGCAACTTTATGCAATTTTGGCAATCTTGAAGAAATAGTTTTTGCAATTTGGTTAAATTCATCATCCAATTCGGGAATTTAGTGCCCCCAAATGAACTAATCACCAAAGACTGTAAATTTTCATTCAACTCGAGAGCTTCGATTACCTCATCGTGGATTCTATTTCGAGCAGAATTTCCAAAATCCATGTGTAAATCAGTGAGGTGAATCTTTTTATGCATCTGAGCTTTCTTCGCCACGTCAGCATCCGCCACATTTCCAAGTCCTTCGATTTTCAGACATCCTCGGAGATTGTTAAGGTTGCCTAATTCTTCGATCCCACACGTTGCATTAGTATCTCCTCTACCGATGATGAATTTGCTCAGCGTCTGAAGTGACTTCAATTCGCCGATCCCTTTTGGCAACGCTTTAAGGTTGTCGGTTCGATCGATTTCAAGATGCCGTAAATTGACTAACTTCCCGATTTCTTCGGGTAATTTTTGGAGGTGGTTACATGCGGAGAGCTTCAACGTCTGTAAATTGTACAAGTTACAAAGGTTCGAAGGCAGCTCCGATAATGGATTGTGGGATAAATTGAGGTACTTCAACTTGCTCGAATTCTCCACTTCGATCGGAAGTTCGCCTATTCTATTGCGGCTCAAATCCAGCGCTTTTAGGCACGTCGAGCGAAGAAAAAACTCGGGTTCGATTCGATCGAGTTGGCTTCTAATAGGTGGAGAATCATGGAAAGATTGAACCCAAAAAGTCAACACCTTTTCCACATTCGGAATCTTATCTGGAAAACGGGAATCTTCCGAGCGAACAATTGTCAGATGACGTGGCTTTCTGCTGTCCAAAGATTCCATTTTTCGCATGAAATCATTGTTGAGCTCAACCACAGAGCACTCGTTCTTTGTCAGATGTTGAGCGAAATCATGAACCATATCGTGCATCTTAAGAGTTAGAATCTTTTCCCCATTTTTCTCTCCCACCAAATCTTGGAAAAACGACCTCATCGCCAAGTTTTGCAAGTATTCTTGCCCTCGCACCTCCATTGCCACGTCATCATTCGAGATTAGACAGCCTTGTGCCATCCAAAGATGGATCAAATTATCCGCATCGATAATATAATCCTTTGGAAAGAAGGCGCAAAACAAAAAGCATCTTTTTTCGTTCGGGGGCAGATTATAGTAGCTCAGCATCAAAGCAGGGAAAGGCCCTTCTTCGGTTTCTTCTCCCAACCCCCAAAACTCGCTGCTCAAAACGGCTTTCCAATCATTCAACGAGTTCTTGAAACGCATTAAACTCCCGATAGTCTTTATAGTAAGAGGCAACCCTTTGCATTTATCGGCTATTGATTTCCCAATATCCTCCAATTCATCACACTCCTTTTTTTTCCTATCGAAAAACGCGATTTTCTTGAATAGAGACCAAGAAGCGGGGCCCGATAACTCCCTTAACGGAAGATTGTATAAGCTTCTCATAGCTATAGCAACCCTCTCGTTTCTTGTGGTGACCAGGATTGTACTTCCCGGCGCACCAGTTTTCAGAGAGTTGAAAAGATTCTCCCATTTCTTCGGATTCTCTGTCCAAACATCGTCCAAAACGAGCAGAAACTTGTTATCCTGTACGTATGTCCGAATCTTTCTTGTTAAAGTTTCGAGTTCGAACAAGTGTGGGGCACTCCCTTCGATATCTTCTACAATGGCTTTCGCAACCCGTATTTCGTCAAACGGGTCGGATACGCAGACCCATATCCGTCTCTCGAAATGGACGATCACATCGCTCGAATTGTAAACGACCTGCGCTAGAGCGGTTTTGCCAATACCACCTAATCCCACTACAGAAACTACATTCAAGACTTGATTTGTATCCGACAACGACAGCATTTTGTCGATGAGGGTTCTCTTAACCGAACCACGACCCTCGATTTCCGACACATCGACGAATGACGTCGATCTAGGCCGATCGAGGGTTTCGATTTTCGGGGTGGAATTGAATTTATACCTATCCTTTTCGATGGCGATTAAAGAAAGCCTCTCGTTAATTCTCTTGATTTTTACAGCTATATCACGGCGGAGGGCGTACCTATTGCAACCGAGACAAGGTAGAGAGATGAAAGAGCAGACCTTTTGTGTGGGAGAAGAGTGGGGGTTTTGGCCCCCTTCGGAATCTGACTTGTGCACAGCTGTAATCCATTCCGACAGAAGATCCTCGGCGTCGTATGAAACGTCGACGAGCTTTTCGAGCCAGAGTTTGATTGTTTGGTCTTTTATCTGTCTTTTCTCGGCGTCGGCGAGTACGGCTCTGAGGGATTTGAATTCGCTTTCGAGTTTCTTGATTTCCTTTTCGACGCCGGAGACTAGCCGGAATTCTTGCCGGATTTGATAGTCGATGATTGTGGCGATTTGGGTGAGGACTACTGTTATGATTGCTTCGGACATGGTTGCAAAGTTATGTAATAATGAGAAGATTCAATTTTTGGCAAGAAAGTTTGTTTGGAAAGTGGGACTGCAATTTCTTATCTGGGTTCTGGTTTTTGAGTAATTATGATCGGAAGAAGACTTTAGAGACGACTTGTCAAAGATAATCTTTTAAGTTTCAGTCCTCAAATTCGTATGGATTCCATATTTGGTCCTCCATATTTGTAAAAATACACAATTTGGTCCTTCATGTTTCAGAAATTCAACGTTTTTAGTTGTTTGCGTCATTTTTTCTGTTAGTACTAACGGGATCAAGCGCGTGACTATCATTGTCTTAACTGATAGACTACCGGTAAATTAATGGAAGAGACTGAAAGTGTTAAATTATTGAAAAAATAAGGGACCAAATCTGTTTTTTTTTGTGAACGTGGATGACCAAATTTGAATTAATGCAAATTTGAGAGATGAAAACTACAATTTTTTTCAAAAAATAAATAGAAAAAAGATTGGGAAAATAAGACTGAGACAAAACTAGAGATTTAAAGCCTACCACGTTGGTTGAAATAAGTATAGGGAGATTTAAAGCCCGCCACGTTGGTTGAAATAAGTTTAGGGCAAGTTACAGCCACTCCTGAGTTATTGTTAAATTACGAAATATCCTTCTGTTTGAGTAATTATAGTCACCTTCAACTATGTATTATCTTACTAAAAGATCATTCCAGAGGTATATTTAGGGATGTTAATTCAGTAAAATACAACCGAAATTTTGGTACGCCAACATTTTATACGATTTACCGGACTAAATATATGATTTGGTTCAGTAAATCCGAATTACATAAATTTTATGTAAAAATATTTAAAAAAAGGGGGTGGCTGTAATCACCCAAACAAGAAGGGAGGTTTCGTAATTTGACTACACCTTAGGGGTGGCCGTAATTTTGCCCATAAGTATAACATCTCTTTTTGGAGTAATAGTTCTTCGCAATAATAGAACGAAGAATGGAAATTTGAAAGAAATTACCGCCGATTCCAATTCAAAGATTTCGATTTTATTTACAAGAGTTTTAGGTTTCGATTTTCGAGACGAATTTTAATTTTCAGATCTTGGAAAAACGACCTCATAAAAGATTCGGATCCAAAACCATCGAAAAAAGAAAGCCGTAAAACATTAACCTAATTACACAATAACATCTGGGGAAAAAAAACTTCAGTAAAGCTTCCATATGCAAGAATCAACTTCTTTATCATCTTGCTGATTCCATTTGATTCCAATGAAAAATTGAATGATTCCACCTAAAACCACACACAAAAGGGTCATTACGTAAACAAACGCATCAAATGAACTAACTAATCCATTGAAAAATCGAAATGCAGTGTCAGGGAAACTTCTCATAGTACTATATAGAAATTGTCCAATAAATTCGACATCGCTCGTAAGCAGAAGACCAAAACTGCATGTTGTTTACGACACTAAGATAGCTAATTACATATTGAGGATGGAAAGGCAACTTCTATCAACCCTACAAGATATATTGATTTTTTATCAAATTCACCAAAAACGAAGTGAGCTGCATAAATACGAGACGTGTGTTTCTATTTCAAAAGGGGATTCAGATAATTCACACTTGGCCAATAATTGCTTTAACGCAAAGTATAGACCGTTTTGCACTTTGCCCCTTGAACAAAAAAAACTTAAACTCATTATTTGTAAAAACTTACTAATGTCATGTGCCCATTCTCACTGGAATGAATATCATGTGCATCTCACGTGATTTTTGCAGGGGTAAATTGGTCATTTCACATCCCTCTTCTCGTACCTCAACTTCTTCGTCATTTCTTCTAACTATATACCCACTTCATAGTTTGTTCTAAATTCAACGTGTACACTAATTTCAGCTAAACCCCATAAAAATAAAAAAAAAACCCGAGTATATTGTCCGAGATCTTCGAGTTTTATGAGCAAATACTTAGTAAATTTGTCTAAATCAACTCACCCCATCTCAACTAACCTGCCAGACCCTTTTTTCCTCAATGACTACGTAGGGGATTGCAAATTTTCTATCTCGCAGGGGAAAAACGAATTGCAAAAATCAGACTCCCAAAGAACAGAACCAAGATTCAAGCCACTCAAAGAAACTTCGCCAATTCAGAAAACTTAAGTAATACATTTAATATTCACTCTCATTTCCCAATCACACATGGATAATCAATTACCGACACCACACAAAAATTTCCGTAATAAATAAATCATAATGAAAAGTTAACGATTGCGCGAAATTACCTCATCTAAGTGAAATATAGTGCTTGGCACTCAGCTTCAGATAGGACACGGAATTTCCTGTCGGCCACCTCGTAAAGCACGTCGGGAGCCATAGCTCCAATCCCCACAAGTTCTGCCATTCGTTGGATGGATTCGAGGCTTCGAGCCTTCGAAGCCAAACAGAACCT